CCTTCTGTTATAAAAATTTAGTAAATCAATCACCAGGTTACAAAAACTTTATTAAGCTCTTATCTCCAGTTGTTTATAATTACTGGTGACATTTTCCCAAGTCCTGCCCTGGGTTGAAATTAGATTAACTCCTCGCAGCTCAAGAACACAGAAAGGGGGATTATACGTTATTGTGTGTATTTGACTCCAGGCCTTGAGTGTTTAATCTTATTTTATTTAAATAGCTTAAAGTATTTAATCTAATTTTCAATAATTAAATCTTACTACATATTGAATCGTAAGTTATTATAAGTCTTGAATTTCGTTCAAAAACTTAATTAACCTCTTGGCAGATTCCGTAGAAGCCTATCTATGTCCTAGGATCATGGATCTTCTTTCCAAAAGCATTTCAGATCCGTTTTTTACAGAGAGCTCAGTTTTACGGAAGAATCTACCAGAATCAATATGATGTACCCTTCTGGGTAAGTTTAAAAAGCATTAGGATTATTATTTGATTTTAAAACTGCTTGCTGAATGGTAGCAGTTAATATATGCTAGCTTGGAAAAAATTGAATCATTTATTTATTAGAATTGCTTAGCTACTGTCGTGTATCAACTTTTTATGAAAGTGAAAAATACTTCAAAACGATATGTATTTTGTGATTTAAACATTAGATTAATTAAACTCTTTTCACTTCAAATTAAACTGCATTCGGAAAAAAATTACAATCTGCAAGAAAAAAGACATCACTATCGTTAACAGAAATAAAAAAAATATTTCTTCTTTATTTTATTTTAAAAAGTACTTGATCACCTTAAAACTAAACTTTCTATGGATAACATATTCATTTTCAAATTCAATTAAATTTTATTTCTCGTTTTGATTAACTTAAACTGACCAATGGTTCAAGTCCTCAAAATAGTATGCTGTGTTTGTTATCACAACTGCATTGTATGTTCATTACCCTCTATATTCTTTTTATTAGGATTAAAAAGATTAAGTGCATTACATAGTGATTTTTTTTGTTTTTTAAAATGCCATTCCATTGTGTAAAGAACAGTTATAGCAATGATTTTTATCTTATATAATTCCACCTTGCTGGTGTGTAATTTAAAAAAAAATATTTGGTTTTCTAAAATCACGTTTCTCTTTTTAAAAAAATGGAAACCAACTTGCACTAGAGAAATAAATCCCAATTAGGTATGCAGTACCTGCTTAGGGGATTAAATGACTATAATACATAATTATAAGACCTCGCCCGGGCCGTAGGGACAATTTAATCAGGTATTTCCAGTTCAATGATGAGGCTTCCATTTATTGCCGTCTGTGGTATTGGTCTGATTATAAATGAACGGTTTCTCTCTAAACGGTTTGTTTATCTAGAAACTGATAATCCAGGCCACAAAGTTGTTATATGGCCCAATATCAAGACGCTAAGTAAACTATTAGGGGTTTATTACCAATCGGATTTTAACCGCTTCTCAATGCCCCTGGGCCGAACAGGTTTCTGGCGAATACATGCCTCGATAAAGAGATCGACGTAATCCCATTCACATACAGAAAAACATTATATTAAGAATGGAAATTCCAGCAATCAAGCTGATTCATTTCCATTCATTCTCCTGGTACTGTTATTTGATTTTTAACAAGATGTCCTTAAAATTTTATTTTCTTCCATGTTAATTTTCTTGAATGACATCAAATGTTTATGAATCTGATACAACGACTACTTTTAATCTTATTTTTCATACTTGAAAAAGACACTATGAATTTACAATTAAGGTAGTTAATAACATTTGTTTTCATTATGCAACCAAATCACATTTTAAAATATAATCATTTTATCTTAAATAACGGATGGTGTCCTTCGTCATATTGACATAGACATGGCATGGATTTTTGTTTAAAAGCTAGATCATAATATCTGTGAAAAAGCTTTAACATCGATTATTCATGAATTATGATAGATTATTTATGATTATTAATGAATTCTAAATTTTACACATTTATTACAAACCCTAAAAATAAAATGATTCCTAACCGATGTGTAAATTTAAGGCAGAGGGTGTATTTTCGTGAAGGATTAACTTGGTGTTTTTTCCCTTTCATTGTTTGACGCACAATCACAATGAAATTATGAACATTTGAGAAAGCAAGAGCACGTTACATGTTTAGTGATGGAAAGTTCATTAAATAATAACGCACTGATTTTAAAAGCAAGCACACTTTGGAAGTGGTCAAACAACAATGACAAACACGAGACAACTTTGAAAATTAAATTCGATCTTCAAGACAGAATGGTATATGGATAAAAAGACTTTGAGGCCGATAGCAAACCATGCTTTACCATAAACTGTTTATGATTCCCCCAAGTTTCCTACAATACAAAACTACTATGAAGTAGCGGACCTTTTGTAGCCGGTAGACTAAATTTATCCTGAATAGACCATTCTATCTTTAAGATCCCGAGTGACTATGGTAATACAACGGCTATATCCAAATGACTACATGGTACTGCAATAGCATCTAGACATCCAATTAATGATATTTGGATCCCAAACATCGGTTTGCAGAATCCGTCAGAAAGTGTGGAGTTCGTGAAGGATGAGACATCAGGATTAATTGTACAAACTTGAATTTGATAATCAAATTTAAGTACGATATGACGGGATGTTATCCATATGATATCCTCATGATCAACTGTTCATTGAACCTTGGCTGTTCTTAACTCTGAAAATTATAAAGCTCGTCTCATTAATCAAGCAAGTTAAATGCCTGCATTTACAGAAAATAGACAGTGCAGTATCACTGATAACACGATGGAGATAACAAGAAGATCCTCCTCAAATTGTTTCACCTTTCCCTTACTAAGAATACCCTCTCGGGAGTCAAAACTTCTGCATGTCTCTTCTAAGTATCATATTATGGGTTACAACTTACAAACAGCACCGGACCCTTTATCTTTCCATTTGCTTAATGACTTTATTAGGAAGATACACAAACCTCAGGTCGTATGATGTACACTTTTCTTACCCTATTTCTTTTGTGAGATACATGAGACAAAAATCGCATAGAAAAATGTCATCATCGATAGTCACTTAAAAAAAATCTCACGCTTCCTACAATAACAAGTATACGTACAGACATTTGTTATCTGGGAAGAAACTTCACCTTTTGTGGATAGCTTATACTAATTCTTGTTTCTTAACAAATGGTAAATCAAGTAACAAAAGGCATTTTGGTTGTGTCTGTTGGAAGTGGACTTTGCGTCATTGTTGTGTAACATTATTGTGTATGAACCATCTCTTTGCTTTTTTATTGCTACATATAATACCTGGTATATGCACAAAGGCAATGTTCTAAATTGAAGGAAAAATAAAATATTCAAATACACAGCAAACTCAGAAATGCTATGTAAATTTTTATTTGTGTTACATGACCAATAAGTATTGAATAAAACCGAAAAAATGATAATATTGTAATAGTTATTTCCGATGAATATTCCCTTGTAACAGTTTTTTCTACTTGTGAACAGTTAGTAAAATAAAAAAAAAACTTTATGAAATTTAAACCGTCTGGTAATTATTAAATTTATATTGACTAGGCGAATTAATTATAACTAAATTTGATTGATTAAGTCCAGTCATTTATGTTGCTTCATTATATCTGCTGAGATGGGGCATACAAATGTTTGATCTTGATATAAATTGGCAATTCAAAGTTTTAAAATTTCATGACCTACCTCTCTGGAGCTTTTAATTATTCTTTATTCTTTTTTGTTATTTAAACGAATATTGATTACAGTATTTGATTAAGGACTTGATTTCTTTTTTTGGTTTGATATTAATGTGACTAATAAGTTGATGCTATCCTGCATTTCCTTTCCACGGACCACACAACACAAACACTATGCTGGTCTTTGACAGTAGTCGTTAATGTTAATTCATTAAATTTTGAAAATAAAACACTTGTTTCACACATGACATACAATATCCTATCAAAGGACTCTGTGCGCTTAAGAATTTAAAATCAGGGGTAAATTAAACCGTTATTAAATCCGCACTTAAAAGTCCTCTATCACTTTCACGTTGACAGAACCTATTAAAATGCCTCTAGTATATTGAAACTCATTTTGTTAATTGTTTACCTAACTCATTAACTGATCATCTTTCTTTGTTTTTATTTACTTTTACTTTGGAAATGATCAAATAACGACAATTCACCTCGTGCGATCCTATCTATAACAAATTTACTCTACAAGGTCTAAAGATTGCAGCCTGTAAATTGTCTGTTTAGACATTCTGTACAGGTTGAGAGATCCTATTTTTGTAAATATGAAAATGATTGTTTTTCCTCAGATGATATTGATCAAGTGTTGATAAAGATACGTTTGGGAATTGATAGATCTTTGAACACAGGGGGGTCTGGATCCTTTGGTTGAATAATTCATTAGGCGACTTTTACGGTGCACGAATAAATCGTTAAGAAAGCATAAAATTCGGTAAATCAGGCAATTGATTTTTTTCTCTGCATCTTAGTCTCTAACATAAATTAATCTTAAATTTATAAATTTTTCATACAAATTTTAAGGTAAAAGCTTTCTGACACTAGCACATGCATGAGTGTTTCATAACTGGTACCATATCATGTCAGCCCATTTAACTTACTTCTTTTCATTATACAACTAACTTCACATAAATATTCTCTCTCTCTCTCTCTCTCCCTCTCTCAGCTCAAGTATAAGCATGTGGAAGCAGAGAAATCAGGACAAAGTAGCAATGTATTGTAACCTTTTATTTGTAAATCAATTCCAAATAACATTGCAAAACAGTTCTATTATTCTCAAGTGTATTTGTTCAATTGCAAGTGTAAATGAAAAGTATACAAAATACACATCTCCAGTCTCTGTGTGTTATTTCTTCATGTTCATATCCCAGCCGCAAGTCAACACATGCGGGGAAAACAATGTCGCTGCACTTTACTCGTTATTTAAATTTTTTAAATTGACTTCTTTATGTAGTAAAAGGAAACATCATTGTGTGGAGGTCTGGGGTAATTATTTACATAACTTAGAACTGAGTGTTTATTTTGGGGGAGAAAAATATCTCTCAAGGAGACCCAAGATATTACGACAATATTTCAAACGTCCGCATTTCTGTCTGGAAGGGGCTGGACCCCAGTGTACCCCCCGGTGGATATCAGTTTAATAGTTGAAGCCCACTTGTGACTATTTTGTCGAAGCTAACCATACAATGTTACCTGTTTACCTAGTAAACTAGCATATGTGTACTAAAGTTAACAACCCCTCCTCTTCGTGAGCGATGTATTTGTGAATTTCAAAAGAGGAACACTGCAATACACAAGTAAGTAGATCATTTCGAAAATTGTTCAAAACTTTAAAGATAATTTTCTGTCTAAGAAAAATTTTTAAGTTCATTTTTGTGTAAAATATAAAATGTTGTACATCATTTTCTAAAAGTGTTAAAATAGTTCTGTCGCATATATTTATCATAATTAATAATAATAATCGATTGTTAATTTAAACAATGTCGTAGAACTTGTAATAGAAAATTTTCCGGCATGCGGATGATTTATAAAACGGGGTGGTATCCTTTATCATAAATCATAAATTGATAAAGGATTGAAAGTTATTGAGATGTTGGATGGAAAGCTTAGCGATGCAAAAAGCAATGATTTATGTATATGTAAAGCGGTAATCTTTAGAATAATATGTTTCTTCATTCATTAAATTCTGCAAAAAAGGGTGAAAGAATCCCATTTAATTAAAGTTGAATGACATCACAGAGAGAATCGCTAATGGGGTATGTACATGAAAATATAAGGAGAATGTGGAAACGCACATTTACACACAAGGAGAAAAAGAAAAAAAATGTTTGCTATACAAAGCATTTTTGTTATTTATTCGTGTTATAGCATTTGAAAGGGAACTTGGAAATTCATAGCGTTTTCATTTTAAGCACATTTCTTCAAAAGTACAATTTTAAATACAAAGTGGTATTTGTACTTTCATTTAAATAAATATAGGTAAACGGTTTCAGAATCTGGAGGATATAACAAGAAATTAGCAAATGATGTAATCTCATTTTTCGGACAGAAAAAAGACTCAGCAGAAAAGTAAAAAGACATGTAGAAAATGTCATTAAGCGTATCCTCTTAATTTTGACAGGTATTATAAACACCCCAGTGTTATAATCGTATCAATTTGACCAAAATTCTAGAACCTCCACTGATTGTTACGGAATGCAGTCGGATTCCTCTATTTTCAATTTCCGAGCAACTTTTAAATGGTAAGGATTTCGTATTTAATTCTAATCGGTCAAACAAGGAAACTGCTGAAAACATCAATGGGACGTCTTTATCTCGAACAGGCAGAGGTTTTACAGAAGTACCTTTAACAAGGGAGATTGTGAGACTTAAAGTAAAAGGATTATTTTGAAGTACCCAGATTACAAGTTGTTTCCAGAGAACGATGTTTACTTTCAGTTTGCAACAGCTCTTTGGTTTTGGCATGGAAATATTTGCTTCACCAATCAAATGGTGATTAAGAACATTTTTTAACTTTGACACCAGTCAAGTTTCTGATTTCAGAAGGTTTTGACATCTAAAATTTACGTCGTTAATTTTTCTGAAACATGAAAAATCTATCAGTGCATTGCTGTTTAGCAGTTTGCAAATTGATACCTAATAATAATTTCAGGGCAATTCAGGGTGTAAAACGATAAAAAAAATTCTCAAAGTAAACTAAATATACTATCAAGTAGTGCCCTTCTTAACTGTTTTTTCAGATTTCCTTCCTTGTCTCAAATTGTTTAACATTCTGTATTTGTTAAATAGTTATGAAATCTGTAAAAAACCAAAGGTCTAGATTTTGTCCACAGTACACTTATGTTTAAAATGCAATATTACAAGTAAGATAAAGTGATATTTAAAATTTTTCATTCAGAAAATGTAAATTGCTTTTTTGAGTGAGATTTTTATCTCAAAGCTCTCAAATATTGTTTCAAAACTTCTCGAGGACGAACAGAATTCTTTCTTGTGATTTCAGGTAGTGGGCGAAGTAACACCAAATTTCTTTAATGGATCTTTTTTTTTCAATCGTGTCACCTTGTGATATATTTTTCTTTAAATAAGGAGCTATTGTTATAAAGTTTGTAGGTGCTAATTTGGTACTCCGACAAAGAAACCTGATCATATTGTGTAAATTTCAACAATTATACGATTGTATCTTGTAGTCACACCTTTCACCAACCTTTAAAGAGTGGAACCATCTTGTCTGTCAAAGTAATCGTAACTCAAAACATGAAATGACAACGTGCATTGTTTCGTGTGATCTACATGTATCGGGTTGGTCTCTCTTTTTAATTGATAAATTATTTACAATGAATTAATATTTTACTGACAGTCTTACAGTTTTGCAAACACTCAACCTCCTTAAATATATCATGAAATAAATCGGTAATCTAAAATATCGCTCTCCGAAATGTGTCTTGAAATCAACATGACTCTACATTGATCTGTAATATCTTTCAGGATTCCTGTTAAAGTAATCCGTTGGATAAATTGTTTATCATTAATGAGCCACAATTTGAACTTGAAATGGGACCAACTAGGTCGCATGCATACAGTTTATTTGTAAACATAGCCATTAATTGTCCCAACAATTTGTACAACAAAGATTCCTCTGTTGACAATGAGGCTAACGGTCGTTGATGTCATTAAGAAGAGAGCCCATGTCAGATTATCGGGTGATTAAGCCCGTTCTTCTGGGGGAAGTAAATAAATAGCATGCTGGGGTATAAAATTCTTTGTATCTTGTGCTCCTTTATTTTGGAATTTAAAATCCTTACCTCCTCTGGAACAAAAATTTAAAAATATAATGGTTACAATTAAATTCCAAAATACAGGAAATAGATACTCATTTGATAAGTTCAATCGTGATTCGACAGGATTTTTATCCTTCAATATTATTTCATACCCTGTCCTCAGTTTTTAATGAACAATTAATAAGAACATTCCATTCAGTGATTTAAAAAGACGAGCATTTTAGCAGAGGCTTGTAAGCCCTACATAATGAGAGTGTGATGAGTAGTGCCGTGTATCTTTGTAGGTAATGGCGACCCCCACCTCCCCCCGGGCTGTGGAGAGACAAAAGGCAAGGCTAGCAAAACTGGAGGAAAAATGGAATATCCTATTTAATCAGGTAGGACTGCTAATCTAATAAAAATGTTTGTACGTAAAGTTCAAGAATATTATTGAACACTATATGTAAAGAATAAAAGTTAGCGAATAAATCTGCAAATGCTACAAAGAATGATGAGTCAAATCAAGATACGGGTTTCCAAAAAAGTCACACTGCTTAATAAATAAATGTCCTCAGGTTAAGAAACAAAACTGAGAGAATTTTGTAAACGATGTGATACCAATATTATTAATTAATTAATTAATTAATTAATGTGCAACAAAAAATAATAACATTGAAAAGCAATTTCACATTTGAAACTATCCATCCATTTTCACTCTAAAAAAAGTTTTACTCGTTGCTTTTAAAATAAGATATTAGATTAAGAAAAACTAGTAATTATTAGTAATCCATTTAGTCAGAATAGCAAGTAAATGACTATCACTGTTAGTAATTGTAAACATAATCAGTAATTAGGGTGAATTCATTTACTTATAAAATGATTTACTAAGTATCAATACTTAATAGGAATTATATTACTTCGTAAATGAACTACTCATTTTTAATAAATCATTATTACTTAATTTAGAGATGATATGCTTTCTATTTACTAGGTTTAATGAATTATTACTAAGTAAATGTAATTCTGAAATTAATTAAAATCTAGAATGTAATTACTTAGGAGAACTTATTTAGAAGTTACTAAGTAAATGAAGTACTTATCATATTTACTAAAATCGACATTATTTCTTTGTAATTATTTTATTATATTTAGCAATAAAACATTTAATTCCAACATCAAAAGCCTTCTAAATTGAATAATTTGTATATTTTTAAGGACCATTTTAAAAATGGTTTAAAGTTTCAAGTACTTAATACAGCATTTTAATTAGTATAACTTTTTTTTTACATGAAGGAATATTTAGAAGAAAGATAACTCCTCCTCACAGACAATTAATATGAAAATTTAAGAATTCAATCCTGATAGTAATTAGACTAACGTTTAACTAACTGCTCTGAATTCTCCTTGATTCAGTAAATAAATTATTGTTTTAAGTAAATCAGTTGAATCAAATGGTCAATGTTATTGGTATCTAATGAAAGGTCCTGCCACAAAAAATATATATCTGAAATATGAAAGCACTAGCCCCAACCCTTCAGAAGTTATGTTCAAGTTTACCAACTTTGAAATGCAGATCAAACTCCAAGGTCAAGGACAAAGGGTCAGATTTGGTGGTACCCAAAGAAAGGTCTTGTCACAACGATGAAATATGTAAAGTATGAATGCACTAACCCCAACCTTTGTAAAGTTAAAGTCAAGGTTTGCTTTTTAAAAGTGCGTCAAACTCCAAGGTCAAGGTCACATTTGGCGATTCTCAAAGATAGGTCTTGTCAAAAGGAATGGACATGTGAAATATGCAAGCCATAGCTCCGCTAAATCAAAAGTTATGGGAAAGGTTAAAGTTTTTGCGGGCAAACAGAAAAACAGACAGACAGAGAGATAGACAGATGGACACGACAAAAACTATGTACCCCCGAAACGAAGTTTAAAAAAAAATTAGTTATATGTAGGAATTAAAATAAAATTCTGATATCTTTATTTTTTTTTCATTATAGTATATATATAGTAATTAGACTACCAGATTTAAGTAATTTGTTCTGCAGCTGCTCTGAATCTTCCTTGATGCAGTAAATAATTTATTATTTTAAGTAAAACAATTAAATATAGCAATTTAAAAATATTTTAGTAATTGCTAGTAATTAGTGGTAAACTGTAAGTAAAAACCAAGTAATATGTTATTACTTACATACACAAATTTAAGTAAATATAAATTACTAAGTAAAACTTTTTTTAGAGTGTTGTCGTTACAAAATTTTAATTAAAAATTTAAAAACAAATACATGTGTAATTAATCTCGCAAAACAATTAAAAAACTTTGTATAAAATGTAATGATGTAGCAATACCGTGCCATAAAAAAGGTGTTGTTGTTTATTTTCACAGAAAACAAGGGAGCCAATATACAGTATGGCGATGTACATCGAATACCTTCAACATTACTGTGATAGAGAAAGTGATTTCCTTTCGAACACTGGACATAACAACCAAGGCTCTCCTCACCCTGTGTCCTACTTCCTACAAAAACTCACACTGGACCTCAAAATGTCCTACCAATGGTATTTTTTTAAATGTCGAAACCTTTATTCGATATTTTTACTTAAAATCACATTCACTTTGATAACATATGATAAGAGAAAACCAAAATAATAAGGAATAAATCGAACACGTCTGAGGTAATTGGGAGGGGTAAGTTGTCTTATTCGTAACCGTCTGTTGGACCTTACAAGAAGCTCCATTATTTATTTGCCATTTTAACGATCATAAAAGATGGATCATAAAAGAAGACATGATAGTTTGAAGATAAAATATTTATGTGTATTTTCTCTGTAAAAAAAACCTGAGTCCTTTATGACTTTAAATGACAAAAACCGAAAACTCTCCAATGCAATTACTTTAGTTAAAATAATACAAAAGGAGACGATATTGTGCCATTTCCTCTCTAGATAAATTATGTATTTTCTTGCTTGTGATTTAAGGTTTATCGAGGACTTTTGCAAGAAAGAGAACGACGGTCTTGCGTTATTGTTGACGTTGTTAAGAAACATACAGAAGACGACGAAGGAAATGACGTCAGTACCGTCAAAAGAAAGGGCACAAATCAGAAAACGATTACTGGTATAACTCAATGTTTTATGTATTTTATATAACAAGTTTAGATATACATAAACTGTGTTTGTAACACCTTGTAAACATGTGATTTTTATATTACAGACAGACGAATATGATTGCTTGGTCTGTATCAAGTTTTGCCTCCGTGCTCAGGTAAATCATCTTTTCCTACAAAACACAATATATTTTTATATCTGATCAAACGAAAAGAAAGAAAAAAATATATTTACCAATTACAACATCACATAACTTCATTTGCAATCGATTTCTTGTAATTTTCTGACAGCTCATCTTTTACTCTCTAATTTGCAGTCAGCAAGTAAAATATTACTGGATTCTACGTACGGACTGGAAAGCGTCGCCTCAGCTCTAATGAGTTCGCACACGAAGTCAAGAGTCGCCGCACTAGAGGTTAAATATCCAAATTCTCTTTATCATGATCTTGTTTACTAGAGTGCATTATTGATCGTAATTATCAAGACTTAGATTTTCTTCTGAGCTGATGTGTGCTGATGTGGATTAGTTGATTATCTTTGTAATGTTTCTTCCGTTACGTGATAGAGTATTGATTTTTCACAAGTTCCAATAAATGAAATGAAATTTTTTAGGGCGTAAAAATGTCAAAAATTCAATTAATGAAGAAAAATCAGTTCAAGTCTTTGATGAATGAAATTAATTAATATAAAAATGAATTTTTATTAGGAAAATCTTAACAGGCAACTTAAAAAACATGAATCTGTAATATGAACAAAATACTGAACTTTATTCTATGCTATGATTAATCAAATAATTAATATTTTCATTAGATTATGAGCCTAATTCTTAGGGAACCCGGCGGATTTAGCAGAAATATCGACTGTTTCACCTACTTTCGATTGAAAAACTGCGAACCTGTTCGATTCAAATTCCTCGTCAACATGCTGATGTCACGATCTGATGGGCCGCTTTCTTTCCAGGTTTAATATTAAAAGTTCTTCTTCCATAAATTAGAATTTTTGAGATTTTGACATTCTTTTATTAAATACATAAAACTCTACAGGTGCATCGCAATTTAATAAGTGCAATTCATTTGAATCTCTCGAAATGAACAGATTTCAAAACTGATAAACGATCGTTGTTATGTTATTAGCATAAATACTTGTTTATGTGTTTGATATTGTTAAGATTTAAAAAAAAGGTAATTAAATTAAATTAGTAAATTATTGTGATGAAAAAATTGAAAACTAAAACAAATTGAGTATATCGAAATTATATTACAAATAGCACAAGAAAATATATATGGATTTGTTGTAAACTATTGAAAAAGTGATATTTCTTCATAAAATGGTATTGTGTATTTTTTGACGTTCGCGAACTGAGTGCCCAAATTTATTATCTTCAAAATCATCGATCTCTCGCACAAATAAGACACGACCAAACCGTCTATTTATCTTAAAATATGAAAATCAAGGCAAATGTATAGTAGAAGTTACAATGAAATCTGTGCATTCTCGTTCGTATGACAAAATTTTGAAACTATGACAGAAGTCCTTTAATAATAGTTCATTGAGTACTCAGATTCGTATCTTATTTAAACGTTTCTTTATTCTTAATGTTTATCTAGATCTTAATTGATAAAAGGCTTTCAAAACGAAACTCTTGAGATTTAATTTTTATTCAATACTTATACAGGTGTGCTGCATGAGATTTTTGAATTCTTTAATCACCTTTGCCCCTAATTCAAACATCAAAGTCTTCCTGCAAACTGAGTTAGAAATGGCTGGGGTGGATCCAAAGCTTCTTATTCTGGTAGGTATTGTAATTATATCGGCCTTTATTTATTTCGTTGTATATTATTTATTCATTTTTATCAATGTAACAGAAGATAAATAAGTATGACGATAAAAAATAACCCTTTTCCTTCGGCAAAATGAATTTTAAACAAAGTTTCCTCTTCACAATGTCAAGCCAATTGATGATTTGCCACAGTTAACTTAAGGAAAAACCAACTAAAAATGGAAATTTTACTTTTTATTCCCGTTCCCTCCAGATGACTGAAGACAGCAAAGCTCAGGAGAAAGATGATCTAGTCAGAGAAATAATGGACTTCCAAAACAGCAAGATTGATGTTGATGCAGTCATTGAAATAAATAGGACCCTCCATGAAAAGGTTTAATTATTTGAATATCATAGAGACGAAATTACAGTGTAACTACAAGACATAACTAATAATCTTATATTTATTTCTCTCATTTTTTTTTTTTTTTTAGATTTCAACACTGAGAAATCAGATAAAGGTATATAGGCATGTTCATTGCATTTTATTATCTGACACTTAATCTAACTTAAAAAAGAAATAATACCGGTATTACTTTAAACAAGGTGTAGTGTTTTGATTTTTTTTTTCAGTCATATACTCATTATTTATTTGTTCTATTAAATAAATAATTCTTACTTCTTACTTAATAGACAGACAAACTATTATCAACGAAAACCAAGCCTGCTCCACCACCGCCGCCACCACCACCAATACCTCTCAATCATCAGCCTCGATCTCAATATATTCCCACTGAGCCTGCGCAGACTGAAAAATATCTCCATAACAACCCTTCAGTAACTGTTAATGTCGACGTTCATTTACAAAGCGATCCTGGTCAGAACTCAGCATTGCAGACACTCTCATCTTGCCTGCAGGAACTGAAAGCCATGAAAAATAACGAAAAGGTTCAACACGAAAATGGTAAATCAAAAAGAGATGGAAAATTCGCCGATCTTTATAATCCAGCTTACATGAAAACAAATTTATGTAAACACTTATGATGTAAATTTATGTAAGTAAATGAAATTTCAAGAATTACATTGTATCTTTTTTTTAAAATTTTCATTCTACAATTTATATATTGTATATTTAATACAATAATTGTTAATTATGTTACATGTTACTAATGAAAATACTTCATATTCAGTTGAGTGCATTGAATCTAAAGATGAAAAGGTTCCCTTTCCTACAAAAGCAAAAATGCCATACCTTAATTGGACTGTTCTAGGTGATGTGGAAAATACCATGTTCAAGGTAATTATAATAATTCTTTTGATAAAACATTTCAATCCCATGCTTTACTTTTCAATAGGCAGATATTTACATTTAGACTGAAATCAAACTCTCTACATTTCAGAGTCTTAACTATGAAAGAGTGCTAGAACAGATCGAATTATTTGAACTAGAGGAGAGCTTTAAGATTGGACAAGAACAAAAGCAAGAATACCCTAAGCGTAAGGGCATGAAAGCTTTTTTTACCATCTACATAAGTGTCATCAAAAAAGATATTCAGATACATGTAATTATTTTGTTCGTCTTGAAACTTTCATGGATTTTCATTCAAATTTTTAGCTCTCAAGGGAGGAATTTCAAAAATTCATTTCATGGAATCTTCAAGAGCTAAGAACCTTTGTAAGTACTTAGAAAAAGACATTTTTATGGCATTAAATATAACGATTTTTTTTCCTTTTTCATTCAATCTGTGTTTGACAAGGAGAGTGTGTATGTATTGAGTTAATAACTACGTTTTAGAAGTATTCAATATCGTGTATGGAATATCCTATATAAAGTTAACTTATTGTCTTTGTTTTAACAGCTATTTTGCAGAAAAGAATCGGACGATCTCCAATCGAAATAAAAGGATTCATTGAAGAGTATGACACAGATGCTCTCTTAGCAGACAATGCCGAGCTACTCCTGAAGTTTATTCCAACTGAAAACGAGGTAAAGTCATTGAAACACAATGATCAAATTATTCTTTAGAGTATATTATATGTACATGTATATAAATACATGTATGTATACATAGGTACATGTATTTATATACATATCATACATGTATGAAATGTAACATCATAAATAATGTGAAAATATTGCCAAAACTTACAGATGAGGACAATTATGGAACTGGAGTTTCAATTGGAAGATTTAGACGAAGCAGAGCAAATGTTGGTCCAAGTAAGTTTTTAATCTGAAATAAAAAATCTGAATTATTGTTGGGAAATTCAAACCATGAAACCTTTATCATGAAAGGGATCATTTTAAAAGACGGAATGTAAATTTATCTTAAAATGCATCAGTACTTTGTTGAATTAATAGAAACTCTTTAATTTGCAGAATAAAAAGCTTATAAATTCTGAATGGTAGGTAATGTAATTATTTTTTAGTTGATGGCGATTGGTAGACTTGAAGAAAGGCTTCGTCTTATGATTTTTATGGACAGTTTTCCTCGCGTGGCGGAAACACTTCTCTCGGTAATGTCTCGGCACTTGTCCTTAAATGCGAAAAATAATCAAATGTTTAGTGGAAGAAAAACAACTTCTCATAAAAAATAAATGTAAAACTATTTTGTGGTAAGAAAACATGCCAGAGAGATTTTATTAGTAAGAGGTATCTCATTAAATGACATAATTATTAGTACTGATTATTGATCATGACAAGAATATTGAGCGTTATTATATCTATCAATGCTATTAATAACTCGTGTTCAGCAAATTTATAGTCATTTATTGCAGATATTCTGTTCATTCAATTAAATGTTAATGAAAAAGCTGATTTCATTATGGCATATGTATATTTAATTACGATTTTCAGCCAATCGCAGATTTAAAGAGCATCTCCACAAGATTGATTCGATGTACGAAATTGAAGAAAATATTCGAGGTAACTTTATATTTATGACATTTCGGGAAAAAAAATAAAAGAATAAACAAGACAATTTTATTAATCATTTTAAATTTTAGATTATTTTGGCGGTTGGAAATTTCATCAATGGAAACAGAAAACAAGCCATTGGATTCAGGGTAGCATCTTTACCACTGGTAATGTTTCTTTCTTTCTTTAGTGATGTTTGGTTTTCCTTTCCTCTCTTCGAGTTTAGCGATGATGAGAGAATAATACATGGGGTATTATATTAGTGAATATGAATAGGTCTTCACTCAAATCAAGAAATATACGGTAATCATATTTTTGCGTTTCAGATGATAAAGGTTAGAAATGAGAGGTTCATATTCTCGTATTTTATGTATGAAATCTAGAAAAAAAAAAGTACAGTAACAAAGCACAAAGTCCCATTGAAACACTCAGACTTGGAACAGAGCAAACGTTGACCTTTAAATCAATTGAGGTGGGAATAGGCGCCTTGGAGGACTATACATTCTGTTTTACTGTTTTACTGGTTTTGTCAATAACTTTCCTCGTTTTATACATTGTTTGAACATAGAGAAAGCTCTTACAATTCGAATCAACTGATAAACATAAACTTCATAAGCAGCTGATGAGGCTGTATTGCTTTATTAGGGATATGGCAATATAAAAAGTTATCTTTTTACATGTACATGTATCATAAAGATTACTTGTAAGGTCATTATTGACCTTTTTTTCTAGTAAAATTACAAAATATGAAACAATTGTATTTAGTTTAATTTTAAATTTCAATTTTTATTTGTTCCACATCGTCTAATAGGGGTTATTTTGTTAAAGTTCGTTTTGATAATCGTATTATTACTCATGTTTAGTTAGAACAAATTCGGTCTGGAGATCGGTCCTTGACCTTACTGGAGTATATCGCAGAGATAGTTGTTCGTCACTATCATGACTCACACGACTGGTATAATGACCTTGACATTCATCAAAACAATACAGGTAATGTTGCTTTGATTTTGTGATTTTTTTGTTTCAAAAAATATACTTTTTAAAAAAATAAAAATAAAATTGTAATGCATTTACACATAGTATAGAAAAACGCTGTTTGATTGTTTTGCTTCAGATCAATTTGAAAATTGTTTAGTTTGTACTGTATTTATAATTATGTCTTCCAAAACTTTGTGTTATCATATGCATTGCCTGCTCTGTAAAAATTTGTTCAACTTTAACATCAGTTGCCTTAAGTTCAACTTCATCTGCGTTATTTGCATATTAACAATTTTCCTTCCAAATTATTTTTTTTAAAATATCATACGTACGGATAACAATTATACTGTATATGTATATATGAATAAAGAATGACATTGTCTGGTAAACGAAAACTAAAAAGTTGTAAGCCAATGACAAATATAATGTACATTTACATCTCATTAAATTTGATTAACTAAATTAAAAACATAGCATTTAGATGCCATCTTGACTAATAATGTTTCTTTTTAGCATCATTCCAATCATTGGTCGCATCTGTCAAAGACATGAATGATGGTTTGACCATTTTACAACAAGAGATTGCAGAAACTTCGTGTCAACGTCTCATTGTATCCTTGTTTACTTTAAATGCTGAAACCTGTACGGTGTATAATATACTTGTAGTATAATTATCATGAACTGCTATAATTAATGATTTTTTTTTCATTTAAAATCAGTATCAGCATATTTTCTTTAACTTTAGCACAAGCTTTTCCAAAGAGATATTTCACCCATTTGCAGCAAAATCCAGAGAGAATTTAAAGAAATGGAGACAGTATTTTGTTCAGTGTGTACCATGTTTGGAGAGAATCCTGCCGAATTAGACTCTCAAGAGTTCCTTAATGTTATACATAATTTTGCAGAATCATACAAGGCAAGGTCTTTTTTTGGTCAACTCAAAATAAAATAAAATTAGAGTTAAACGCATATGTTTACTCCAGAAATTTACACATTTAGCGTAAATATTTCATGTAACCATTTGTATTACAGAAAGCTGATAAGAAGCTAAGTAGACAAAGATGGCGGAAAGGCATTAATCTGTCAAAGACAAATCATATCAAACCACCAATTCCAAATGTAAATATGACGGAGTCTCAATATCCTGAATCTCCCACATCTCCTGAACTTGTCTATCAGAATTCTACCCATCCCATTGAAAAGGAACGTAATGCCCTTGAAGAAAACGAGACAGAGCAGCGTGAAAAGGTCTTCACATTTGAAAATTGTGATATTGCTGATAAGGAAATAGTTACTCTGAGTGATCAGACCATAGAAGACTGGGTGGTGAACAGTCCACATCCCTCCGCGTGTACGGACGTTTTACGAGAAGAATCTGTCGCAAGAATTAAAAACTTAGACCCACCAAAAGAGGAGGATGATAGTATATTTGACTATGACACAGCAAGTGAAGACAGTGCATTTGTTGGATCCGAGGGTCAGTATCTTCGATCTTCCACCAGCAGGACTTTTGCCTTAACTGGGCAAATCTTACAAAATGACAAATACCAGAGTTTACTGAGGAAGCCGAGTCCTCCGCCGGAACCGATTCCAGATTATTCCGTCTGTGGAACTCTCAGGCTCGAGGACGATGTGGAGCGGGTATTGAAAGACTTTGATGGGAAATTAAATGAATATTGTACGATACCCAATGTGGCTGTTCACATGGGGTATATGAATATGAGGTCTGAAATTTACATTTAAGAAAATAGGAAATAATTTCTATCAATGTGCTTTGCATTGTGTACATGTTTTTGAAAATTCGTGTTCTGAGTTTATTTGGTGCAATAGACACCTACTAAAACAACCGTGCAATATTTATTATCAATGATATTCAATTAAATATAAGAATAAGATTATCTTGTTTTCCTTTCCACAATCCTTGCGTTATTTTTTTGAATTTACAGGTTTATCCTCCCTGAAATCAGGATTTATATTCAAACATAATAATACTACAAATATGTCAGTTACTACATTTTTTATCCAAATTAAATTTATACCTTCTCAACACCTTCAACAAACACTAGATGATGAAGTACGTCACACAAAACAGAAAATGTACAATGATTGTAATTCAAACAAAATCTATTAGCCATTGTCTGATAGATGACGCGACTCTCACACTCGTCATTGCCAATTCACACTCTTCATAGCAGCTTGTACACCTTCATAAAAGCAGAGTACAATCAGTCTGGATGAAAAGGTAGGCCATTATATATGTTGAACATTAATGACGCTGATGTCGAACATCCTTTTACAATGAGTTTGTCATGGTCTCATACCCGTCATTAAAACCATTTTCAACAATCGTTTTTGTCATCAATCGTTTTCGGAAATGCTTGAAGGGGGCTGCATCATGTACAGTTTGAATAAAAGTACACATAGTTAGCAATATTTTTTTCCATTACCTAAAGCTGTATAAATATTTTTTGCTGTAATTTTGTAGTGGGAACAAATCTTTGTACTACAAAGAAAAAATGTCTCCTCCGTCAGATTTGCTTTAAGGATTCAACAAGAGACATTGATACTGCAGTGTGAATTTTACATTCCAAAGAACAACGAAAATTAAAACGTACAAAAATGTTATTTTACAGCATGTTACTCGCCGAATGTAAATTACAAAAATGTTTTGCTTGTTAACGTTTTCATTATTTCAATTTACCACAGGTAGATTTTGGCAAACAAAAAGTGTAGTTTTGAAGGTTGAAGTAGCTAAAGAATGACAAATAATCAAAATCATTTAAAAAAATCCAAATGTTCTCATAGAAAGATTTCACTATGCTACATTTACATAAAAAGGGACTTGGCCTTTCAAGGAACATTCTCACTGGTATGAAAGACGTGAGGGATCGATCTTTTCTCCCTCCAATGCTACATGTACGTGCCTGTAAAGGTCCTATAGATGAATTGCATCATTAATTACGTAAAATATAAATGTATCATACAGTAATCAGGCTCAAAAGTTTTTTCTAAGAAATACAGATCTGGAGTAGAGCAAACATGCCAGATGTACGACCAAGTGTTAAGGAGGAGTATTGAAGTATCCTCTGTTGAATGTTAATATCCGTCATGTGCTCCTTGTCATCATCGGGCAAATGGAAAAATCTTTAGAAAATTCAATGTGTAAATAATGGCTTAACAATAAGTATAAAAATGTCGACCTGTAACATTTGACTTTAAGATAATTTTGCATGCAATTAAACTTGAGAAATACACCTTAAACAAGACTGTTGATGTATCAATTTGTTTGTCAGTAGCCGTGTATTTTTTTTTTAGAAATTGTTCTTGCATATTGCATGTTCTTCCTTATCAAATCATTTGGGACACCATCCGAGACAAAATCCCATTTACAGACGATGAAGATAACAACATCAATAGGAGAGCTTTAAAAAAGTTGTTGTAATCACGTTGTATCAATTATTTTTGTTAGATAAATATCAGCGTTTTTTCACTTGGATAAATCGAATCGAAATATGAATGGAAGTAATTCTTGTTAACTGTTAATAAGTCGTCAACGACTCAACATATACCTGGTAAAAATATCGAGTTGAAGGCTACTATAAGATTTGTCCTCTAATTGTTTATGCTTCTGAATAAATTCTGCTTTAGATGAATACAAAAGCAAATCGCAGAAAAGTCACAGAAAGAGTTTTAATATTTATAATTTTATAGGATTTATAACACTGGAAACAAAAACTAGATACTTGAACAGAAAAGATGAGATATGTACTTTTTGAGGTCGTATGGTTCTAATATTTCGAAATGTCTGAAAACAGTTTGCTGGTTATGACACCAATTAACATGTTTCCACTGCCGTCAATATAAATAATGTTCGATGTGATCACAAATTGACTTTACCTTAAATGTTGTACGTACCATGGCCTTATACACGACAGGAAACACAGAATAACTGATTCATACTGCAAAGGAAACGTGCAGTACTGCATGAACTATTAATTTGCATCAAAGTTAGGATCTTTTTTAGCTTACAATGATTTTACATTGGATGCCAAGAAGAAATGACCAAAAGTAGAAGCATATTTTTAATTTTTAACCTTAAATTTACAATTAGAAGTCCACGTTATTATAAATACTGGTAAGAATCCATAATTGTCCTTATCTTGTTCAGTAACTATTCATGAAAACAAAATTTTAAGTAATGACCTATCGCTTTTGTAACAAAAAGAATGCTTGAATTCATATAATATATTTAAAAAGATTTATTTCCAGTAGCAAAGAATAAATATTAAATTATTGTTTGCCTCTGGTATTGATATTGTTTGGCAATTATAGCTTGTAGTCTGTATCTATGAGAGAAAGTATTTTGTCATTGAAGTCCTTGAAGCAGTTGTTCCATCATTTTTCATCCTTAACAAATGAACGCCTTGACATTTCTCCTACTTTTGACAATGCAGTATAAAAATTCTCTACCCGAAAATCCCATGACAAATCACAGAGAGAAAAAAAGTCGATGTTCATTGCTTCGCTTCCGGCTACCTTCTCGGGATCAATAAATTCTTACACCATTTTCTCGCCTTCGTTACTGCTTCTTTCACTTTGAGAATTTTTCACTCTGAAACTGGACTCGACGGTGTAAGTTAAATTCTACAGAGAAGCTCGCAAATCGATTAACAGGTGACGGTAAATATTGCAGTGATACGATGATCTTTTGCTAATGGCCTCACGAAAGACTTGGTCAATGGCGATAAGCCGTCCTTCCTCTACCTAGCCCGAGCTAAGATGATGGATTTTCTTTAACATGATTTTGTGTTCCGGGCTTTACTTTGGATTTTTTTTATGCGCTTTAATAATGCGTAAGTATGTTTTAAAAATATTAAACATTTTTGATACAGTATTGCATTTTATGTTCCTATGTTATTTTTACTGACCGAAGCCAAGTCAACCGATGTATTTATTTCATGAATTAAAAGAAAATAACAGCAGTATTGAAAGTGTAAAAATGGAATTTATTCAAGTAAACGACGCAAAGCCAAAATACATATAGTTAGGGGGTCGGAAAAGTTGTTTTGTTTCTTTATTGTTCCCCCTTTCCAAAACAAGAAATAAGACAAAAATACTTACGATTCAAAACTTTAAAAAAGCATTTAATATAATCAATTTACAATTTAGAAATCTATTTTTTACATGTATATACAATGTTCATAAGTTAAAGACATGTAGAATAAAACAGTCAAAACATCCAAAAGACGAAGAAAATACACCAAGTAAAGAAAGGCAATTAACTGATTTTTTTTCAGAATTATGGACAGTTTGGTTTTATATTCGATACAATTCAAAATCAAGTACATGTACTAAGATTCAGATATTTAGAAACGATGGCTCTTCAGCACCATCGTACCATCTCACAGTTCCTCTCAACATCTATTCTGTTTAGGCATGTCCTGTAATTAGATTACCAACAGATTCCAAAGTTACATGCTGTATACTATTTACCAGTGCATTAAAAATTGATGAAAGACTTCTGCTGATGAAACTCTTTGAAAGTCCAGTTTATAAATTGGCTTATGAAAGTAAATCAGTGATCAAAGAATTTGCAATTAATCACAGAAACGTCGCAAATTACAACAAAATAGACATTCTCATAATGTTAAAGATATATTAGAAAATATCAAAGTTGAAGCGCCTTTCCGTGCTCTTTTGGAAAATATTGATCAGACAATATAAAACATCTGCACAGACATTCAGTCTAGGAATATTTTATCTGAAAATATTGGAAATACAATTTTCACATGTTGCTCAATTGTTCGTAATGCAAACAGCAGGCAACCACAATTTAATATATTAATCGGTAAATCTCCGTCTTCTAATGCTCGTTTGTGGCGGGTTTCATCGGTACAAATATTGAGAAATTATGTTGGATTACTTTGCTGCCACTTAATCGAATTGATAGAGATTTAATGTTTACTCATTCCAGAGGTCATAAAATAAATTCTTTATTAACAGCCTTTGAAATAGTATAAAAGATATGCACCCTAGTAGCCCTAATAAGACCATACCTGAATTTTTGGTAACTTATACATGTACATGATGAATGCATATAGGACTTTGGTATAAGGTAGCATGCGAGATCGAAAAGGATTGCAAAGCAAGGATATGGAGACAACAAAACCAACAACAACAGAACAACTGTCAAGGAGGCAAGAAACAAACAAAACAAAAACAAAATCATGGATAAATAGCTAGAGGAAGCGAAGGTGGTGCTTTTAGTTACCCATGCATTCTACGTAGATCTAGAGTCCTAACCCAGCGCGACTAGAAAGCAAGGGGAATATTTTTTCTTTTACATTGCAAGATGATTTTTCCTCCAGAGTAAATGATTTTTTCTCCTTTGAAAATATACAATAGTCATTGCTATTACTTAAAAGGATTCATTTATATTCACTAGTTTGTTTATAAGTGAAACGCTTTTCAAAGAAAAGCTAAGATTACAATTTTAAATTGAATTCTTAAAAGTCAAATTGGGAAGAAGGTACATGTATGGCACACCAAATTTACAAAAATGAGCTAAACTGTTTCACAGTTCATAAACTTGATTTATCGACTGTAAATTATAGTTTACAAACCGTGAACTAAAGTTAACAATTCGTTAACTATAGTTTTCATCCGTAAAACTATATTTAACGGTTGTTAACTATAGTTTACGAATGCTAATCTAAGTTTATCTGTCTGTAATAAAGCGTTAACAATAGATTTTGTTGATAAACATAGATTCACGTCTGTAAACTATAACTTACAATCGTGAACTATAATTAAAATTTGTTAAGCATATTTTCACAAATGGCGAAACTATATCAGATGGTTAACTAAAGTCAAGAGTTGTAAACCATAGTTTTCAAATCGTAAAACTATATTTATCAGATAATCTATGTTTTGCAATCGCAAATGATTTTTTTCGGTGTTAAGAATAGTTTACGATTCTGAAACATAGATTTTCGCATTAACTAGGGTTTACACATGTAAAATGTAGATTGATTTTGTAAACTATAGTTTACAGTCCGTAAACTATAGTTTACAACTGATGAACCTAGTTTATCGACTGTGAAACCATGTTTAGCTCTTTTTGTGAATTTGGCGTGCCATATACATGTATATGATCAGAGTTAAAAATGCATTTATCGATTTCTTTGAAAAGATGTATAGAAAGTGGAGAAAGAAAATGTACAGTTAAATATTTTATTCGACATGGTAAAAAATTAAGCTCTACCTTCAGATACTGTCCAGGTACCCTGCATACTTATTTACAACCATTTTGCAACATATATGACACAGAGGTTTAGTTAAGCCTTAGCAGGTTAAATTATGTATATCCTAATGAAGTTATTTTTAATTCAATTTTTCAGTAATGCATTCGGTCCCAAGCTTTGGACTGCAGTGTTACAATTGCACAACGACATGGGAATACGGTGCATGCGTATTAGAACCAAACACAACGAGGGTAGTCTCATGTGATTCCAATCAAAACTTTTGCTTGGTAAGGAAAATTATATTTATGAAGATTATTTTTTCAATTGAATAAAGTTAAAAAAAACTTTTATGCCATGCAGATTCTAAAAGTATTTATCAAATTCTTCGAACTATATTTGTTATGATAAATTTCTTTGATTATTTGATTACATTGATTAAAATGTAAAAATAGTAAACAAAATCATAAGAAAAAAACTATTTATTATTTTTTTTTAAATTCCTTTTTGTGAAAAGTCAACGAAAGTTATTGTGCATTAATTATAAAGGCCATGAAATAAATTTGAATTCAAAGATCCAGAAAGGCACGTTGCTCACAGCAGTATCTTTCTCATATCATAAATCAAATTCACTAGCATTTATCAGATTCAGTATTCTTGTATCAAGAATAAAAATCCCAAAGGTATCCTGAAGACACTACATTCTATCAAATGCTAACTTTGCTGTCGTGATCTGGAAAAGAAAGATACTGTAATTGATTAGTGCGGATTAATTTCCGCTTTGCCTGTAGATATAACAGAGATGATTGATGTAATTGCGTTATATATTGAAATTTCCATTAGCCTTGCCATAAATTTCAACAGAACGACAAGCATAGATTGTACACAAAAGCAAAGTCTAATATATGTACTCTCTCTTAGTTTTAACATAAAAATTCATTGTATAAATTATTACGAATAAAATCGAGCTCAATTTTAACTCATTACTGATGGGTCTCTTTTAAAAGTGATGTTTTTGTTATCATACCTGATTGACGGAATTTCAAAATAGCAGTATAATAATATCGTACAAACAGAATTTTTAGCGAGGATTTAATTTTGGCATTATTAGCGAGGGTTCTGAGATCACTAAAATGAAATATTGTTAAAAATAAACTGTTTTTAATTTGTAATAGTTTTTAGTGAGCAATTTAAAATCGCTAAAATTACTTCTCGCTAAAAATAAATTACCATATTTTAAGGACAAAAAGCTAAATTTGCGTCTCGCTAAAATTTCCACTTATACGGTATTACCGTATATCCGGTTTTTTTCGCGATGATCTATTTTTCGCTTTTTTGCGATAACTTTTAATTCGCAAAAAATAAAACACGCAGAAATTATGTCAGCTATAACGTGACATAAAAAACATTACCATTTTAAATTTTAAAAAAATCTTCAATTAAAAAATAGCTTACGCAAAATTTAAACTGTACTAATCTACCCCTTTTTCGCAAAATTTCTAACATGCGAAAAAACCGGATATACGGTATGTATTTCCGTGTATTTTTAAAAAAAATATCATACGTTAACATATTACATGTACTTGAAATTGCCTGTGTTTGAGCATTGACTTAAGACTCGAGGAGTAAAGAATTCGTTCTTGAAGTCGCGGATACTAAACAACGAGACAAGGAGTCTAGGACCGTATAAACCGAAGACCCTGTCGCTGTACATAGGTATTGGAACGTTAATACGTCAGTGCTCAAATCCTGTTAGCGCCCTTGTTCTCAAAAATACAAAAATTAATGGGTATGTTTCTGAATTTTATTTAGATTAAGGAAAAAATAAGAATTGGGTTGAAGATTATTTTTCTATTTTTTTTCGACAGGTCCAACGAAATGAAACATTCGGAAAGTTTGACGTCCTTATCAGACGGTGCGCAACTTCCTGTTCGCCTCACTGTGGTATCTGGGGCGATGACATTGATACAGAACGTTGTTTTTCCTGTTGTTCGACAGACTTGTGCAATACTGATAATTCTGCACATCGTATACACGTGCCTGGGGCGACTTTAAATATAATCAATATTATGCTCTTATTAATTATGTGATATTAGCTTACTTTTGCTAAGCATACTTTATCTTGTTTGCCTGGAGTTTAATTAAATGTTACCATTTCCTATATATGCATGAACATCGAAAGCGCTGGAGAAAGAATAAGTGCATCTGTACTAAAACAAATAACTGCCACAATCAAATAAATTCATAATGGTTTGTGATGAACTAAGTGTATTTGCATGTTTTTACAGTCGTGTCATGGGAACCATTATAAGACAATACCAAATTATTTCTTCAGAAGATTGACCCAAGTGTAAAATCCCAATTGACAATGGCATTTGCAGCCTCTGGCTTAGTCAGGAAAAGTGTCTAAGAATCCCATTCAAATACTACATCCACTTGGAATCTCTGTCTAATGATAGAAATCAATTTGGACAAATTATGAGAAAGACTATGAAAGTAACGAAATACATTGTAATGCAGATTTCGTGTCGTTGGTTTATTTGTTTAGAAATCAAAGGGAAATTCCGGTTCAATATATCATAAAATGAAAGTAGGTCACAGATTCCGTTTTTATTAAATAAAGTGCATTTAGTGTGATTAATAGGAGATTTATGTGATAACCGAGAAATATTAATGTAAAAAATGAAATGTAAAATTAAATACATTTTTAAGGGACATGGACACAGTTTCAACTGAAATCTTTTTTAAAAAAAAAAAAAAAAAACAGTTGTAATGTTTACAATGAAAACTAAGGCAATATTAATAATCAGCAAAAATTTGAATATCATTTGTTGATTTACAAAGGAGATACAGAACTTAAAATTGTTAAACAAATAATGTAAACAAGGCTCGTACCTTGTTTTTGTTTACATATAAAAAATATATCATGTTTATAACAAAACGAGATTCAGCAAAACACTAGAAACTGTCTTATCGTATTTAGGATTAACTTCTTTAATGAAAAAAATGTGCTTTGACTGAACATATATTAGTATATTTAACTTATTTAAACAGAAAGCTGGCACTGTCCCTGTTTATATAACAAAGGTTTGGAACTCTAAATCTCTCTTGTATCTCATCAACCGAAATTGAATTTTTTAATCATCATTATAAATACCTTAGTTAAAATTTGCAAATTAAAAAATATAATTTAGCTGAAACTCTGTCCATGTCTCTTTAAGTATGAAATACTTCTAATATTGATTTGTAAACGTTTTGTAAAAAAATGCTATTTTGAATGGTGCTTTTGTCATTAAGTCACATTGTTGTTACTCACTGTGGATCTGTTTTTATTCTAGGGGACCAACGTTCATGGTTTAGTAGAATTTGGTTGGCTGATGGGGACGTCGTAATTTTGCTTATTAATTGCACATAGATTCAACGAATAAATATATTGACAAAATTATTGTTCGTGGGGATTCAAGTTCGTGGATAAGGGTGACCAAAAAAGTTTTACGAACACGGGCTTCCAAATTAAAACAATGATGACTCCATAATATTTTCACCTAAGGACAAATGATACAAATAAACTGTTACAAAAATCTTGAAATTATATAAAATCTCGATTCATGTTTAAGCAAGTAAAAATGATAAGTTTACCCGCAAAGATTCTTATTTTCCCTTCAAAGTTTCGCCATGATAAGATTTAAAGTGAAAAAATATTGTATAGAATGATTAATAAAGATGGTTGCTGAAAGGTTAAATCCAGAGGCTTGTTCAATAGAGCGAGCACTTGCAAACATTTCTATTGGAGGCATAAGAAATTTTGTCCAATTAACAATAATTTCTATTCTTATGTCAATACAATACATATATCCCGGTGAGCTTGAGATAAAAGATACCACGGAGTCTGACACATCAGTTTCATATTTGGATATTTTACTTGAAAAAGACGTAAATGGTAATCTAACAACCAAGCCCTATGATAAACGTGATGACTTTAACTTCCCTTACTTATGTCATAGGCGTCGGAAGCAAATTGAAAGGGGGGCTAAACCAACAAAAAATGTAAATCCCATTTTTTCAATGCCTATATTATTTATATTTTTGCAAAAAAAGCCCCCGGTCCCGACGCCTATGTATGCAACAATATACCTTCATCACCTGCATACGGAGTTTATATATCTCAGTTGATTCGATACACAAGAGCATGCTCTACGTATGAACAATTTCTAAAAAAATGAGGTAAATTATTGACAAACAAGATGATGAGACAAGAATTTAGGCAGTCTTGTTTAAAGTCATCATTTCGTAAGTTCCATGGTCGATACCATGACCTTGTCAGCAAATACAATTTATCATTGAGTCTGACTGACGTTTTTCATACTAATTGTTAGTCCATTAATGAAACTGAATTGACGATAGTTTTTTCATCATTTCCCAATCATGACAAGGAGACCGTCGCCAGGAGATGCTCACACCTCCATGGCACCAGATCCCACCTTTGATGTTATGGTGGTTCGTGTTTGCTATACTCCTATTTGTATTGTTTTATAGACTTTTGATCTTTGAATACTCTTCTTTATCTCCATATGTTTCTCCAAAACTAACAAAAAGGGTTTTCAAACAGTTCCAAAAACTTAAATCTTTAATTGAATTTTTAAAATTTTTGTATGAAATACCTGTACATGTATGGCGATAGCGAGGTGTATTCAAGCTTAGGTGTCGGTAAAACAATATAAATTTTGTAGCAGAGCAAACCCCTCTTAAACATCCCGCCGTGTGCTCCTTGTCATTTTCTAGAAATAATAAAAATGCGTCGACAATTCAGCGTGTTAATATTGGCCTAACAATTAGTATGAAAACAATTATTCAGCATTTGACTTTATAATAGATTTGCTGACAAATTAATTTCATTGTATCGACCATAAAATCTCAAAACGAGAATGTTGATATGTTGATATGTTTGTTTCATCAATTTGTTTGACAATACTTATGAGGGTTGGAAGAATAGTTAGGGTTAAGCTGCGAGAGTTAGGGTTATCATTAGGGTTGGGGCTTGGGTTAAGGTTAGGGTTATCATAAGGGTAAGGGTTAGCTTAGGGTTAGGGTTAGAATAAGAGTTAGGGTTAAGGTGCAAGGGTTATGGTTATACCAAGGGCAAGTGTAGGGTTAAGCTATTAGGGTTAGAGTTAGGGCTAAGGTTAGGGTAAGGGTTAGAATAAAAATAAGGGTTAAGCCGACCTAACGGATTAAAAAGGTAGCAACTGTTCTTTGGCCAAGCACTCGGCACTTTGAAGTAGAAGTTGCAGTCATTTAGATTGGACCATAAAAACTGAGAGGCCCTGTGTCACGGTGGGTGTTGAGACGATTAGGCATCCTTGCTGCTCAAAGACCCTTAGAACCGATTAAAAGTCTAAATTTGAAGTCCTTTACAAGTTTAGGATGAAGTCTATATATGAGTAAAATTCTCGAACAAAAAACATACAGTCAATCCTTTTTTCAGCACTGCATCCTTAAGAATGAATTTTTCTACCCCTTAAATTCAATTGTATTTTCTTCTGTCACAATCCTAATTGAACAACAACGAAAAACAAAAGAAGAAAACACTAACACACGCAGTGCATTTCATCATAGCGAAACTGCAAGAAATTATATGATTAGGAATGTGAGAGTGATTTTTTATCAATGTCTTCCCCCCAAAAAAATCATTAGTTATGCCAGTGTTTAAAGCCTTTGACTATATGTCATCCAAATAAATATATTTGATATACCTTCATATTCACAATGTCCAGAATGCTGTTGTTTATTTTTCAGTTTCAACGAGCATAATTATAATGTCTCAATAGTAAATTAATTTTTTGCTTGAATGAGTCCATCTGATTCAAAAATACTAAGTCCGTATGGATACTTGCATGTAAATTGCATTAAAGGTCCAGCAACTCTTACTTTTCTTGATGCTCAAACAGGTATAAGATTTCAAAATTCTTATTGGATTTTTCTAATTTTACTAATATTACCAAGAACAAAATGATTTTTGATTACAATACATGTATTTAAACTAATTCCAAAAGTCCGTAAATATTCTTAAAAAAAAGATACGCTACGGGTTTGAGTAAATGTTCTACCAAGCCTCTTCATTTAGTTCTCATAAAAATATTTACAGCAGTGAACAGAAATTTTACGCCATTATGTTCACGCTTAAATTTCAACAGACAGATTTCTCCTCTTACTCGATCATGACAGCACACGGCGGATGTGACAGGTTGACAGGAGAAATTTACACCTCCAAGGTACCAAAATCCGCCCCTCTTTTGTTTTTGTTTTCCGCATTTGATCTGCTCCCAATTGATATTATTTAAATACTAGTAGATTAGGATTGATTGATTATGTTTTTTACGTCCTGCATGAGATTTTTCACCTTCATAGGAACGTCATCGGCTCCAAATTTAAGGCAGATAATACAAACATTTTTTTTTCTCTGGAGGAGAATTAATATCATCTCACAGGTTTAGAAAAGTGGATAATTCTTTGATTTTTTTCTTCTTAGACTTGGAAAATAAAATTGACGTGAAAAATATTAGTAAATATTTTCAATAAAATTACAAATATGGACAAATCACACTCAGTAGAGGTTTACAGATGAAAAAAAAATCAGAATATGTTAGCTTAATTGGTGCTAAAAAGTTGCCATTAATCAGTGCATGAACAACCATAAGCAAGCCATATGCGTTGACTTTTTGAACAATGGCTGTTCCATCAGTTGAACATACAATGACATATTCATCTTAAATACAATATTTAAACAAATTTAATTTTATTTTGAATGATTTTTAATACAGATATAAATATAAATAATTAAATGCTTTTTTTATTTGTTAGTACGGGAATTAACGCCGCAGCTATTGCAGAAAAAATTACATAACCTGTTTACGCGAGTTATTTATTTTTTTCTGCAACGGCTGCGACATTTATTCCCGTACTAACAACCAAAGAAAGCATTTTATCATTTAAATAGTCGCCTGCGTGGCACATTAGTTAGAGCGACTGCTCTAGAGTCGCGAAGTAAGCAGTCAGTCCTTACGTCGCGGGTTCGAATCCCACCGCTGGATGTGGAGACCAGTTCTTCGGATGAGACCGTATAAACCCAGGTCCCGTGTCGCAGTAGGTGCTGGCACGAAAAGATCCCTCCCTGCTCAATGGCCCTGAGTGCCGAGTATAGGACAAAATTTGCAGCTGATTGTTCTGATTGTTCACTATTTTGCGTTTCCTGTTAAATTTACCTTGTTTGGTATATTTTTGGTATGATGTTAATGACATCGCTAAAATAAATATTATTACTTCTCCGGGATGTTTGTTTATAACTTAAATTCCGTGATTCCTTCATCACAAGTATTCACTGCAGAGCAAACACCACTTTCTAAACATGGCTGACCCTGGTACAACTGTTGTTATTGATAACGGATCGGATACGATCAAAGCTGGATTTTCTGGAGATGATGCCCCAAGGAACATTTTTCCATGCCTTGTGGGAAAACCAAGGCACAGGGTAAATGTACATTTTTTTTATTGTATTAATACATGTACATGATATTGTTGAAAACTACGGATATTTGTGACCTAAAGATAAGGTGAACATTAAGAACAGATCAGGATATCAACGCACTGCTAAAATTAACTTAAATTCGATAGAAAATATCCTGTTGTATGTATCATGAATATTCTGTACGTATTATTTATTATATAATAGCTTTAGTGATACGTTATAGACGGTTTTCATTGAACTAACGATATACTTTTCTGGTGTAAATTAATTACATATTTGTGTCCTACAATTTTTCGTAATTAATTTGATTCAAATGCCAAAAATTCATGTTTGGTTTATCTTTTTAGAACTTCAATTCAATCCTGCAAAGAACTAACACTTTAACCTGAAACAAAAAAAACCACACTTATAAAAATGAAATTAGCATATATTACATGTATTTGATAAAATTTTTCTGTTAAAAAATTCTATGCTAAAAATAGATATAATTAACACAATACTTTTTTTTACACAATCCTCACGCTTAGTCCTTATGTTTTTAAAGCAACATTCAGTCAAACTAGTGCAAAATTTAGCATTATAAGCAATCACAGTTAATAGCAAAGAAGTTTGAAAGCATTTAAAACGTCAGTCTTCTTGAATCCATTGAACATCTTCTCGAGGTTGAATATTACGGGTACCCATACAACCCAGACGATTTAATCTGACGAAGCCTGAATGGATACAGAGGTGACATTTCAATACTCATGTTCAAGTTATCACCATACTAAGAAGAACTCGTATTTTTTATCGAATTTTCTCTTAATTTTTCTTCTAAGAGAATAGTAAAAATACGTACACTTCTTTTGATAAACATAAGTGAAAGATTTCTTGTGTAATGAAAAGTTCTATTGTCTCTTTTTTAAAATATACATTAAAGTGTGTATAGGTAATGATTTTCTTTCTTTAAAAATTGTTTTCCTTTCGTGTCACAATTCTGTTCGTAAAAATTGTTATGCTTGCCTGTCATGCAACCGTTAACCATATCTTATGAGAGCATTGTATTTTAAGTTAAATCATTTTGGGTAATGCAAAGCTAACTAAATTTACATTAATATTTTTGAGACCTGTACATGTTTTATGTAGCTTTATTTTTTCCTTTTATTATATTTTTTGATATGAGTGAGTTGTTTCCCTTTTGTTTATATTGAATATCTAAACTTGCTGATTTTTTAAAAATCAAATAAGCGAAGAAATTGATTTGAATTATGTTTGGAAGTTTGCCACATCAAAATTGTCTGATTGCTTAAATTAATTCTCCAAACGATAAGAAACATTCATTGATTTTTTTGCATATGTTAACTAAGCAAATTTGACTTATACTCAGTGTATCGTTTGATTTCAGGCAAGATTTTTTGCAAAAAGTAAAAAGGACAGTTTTGTTGGACAAGAAGCGCAGCGGAAAAGAAATATACTCTCTGTAAAGAGTCCCATTGAGAATGGCATAATTACAAACTGGGACGACATGGAACTGATTTGGAATCACACTTTTCTAAATGAGCTGAGAGTTACACCCAAAGAGCATCCAGTTTTGTTATCTGAGGCTCCGATAAATGTGAAAGTCCATCGCGAGAAAATGGCTCAAATTATGTTTGAGACCTTCCACTCTCCCGCTATACATATAGGCAATCAGGCTGTGTTGTCACTGCATCACTATGGTAGAACTAGTGGTGTAGTATTGGACTCAGGAAAATGTGTATCCCATGCCGTGCCCATCAACGAAGGCCGTGTATTTCCCAATGCAATACTACGTTTGAATATGGCGGGCAAAGAGTTAACACGCTATCTTTCTAAACTGTCTACGAAACGTGGGTATTCTTTTACATCGTCCATCGAGTTTGAAACCATGCGTAATATAAAAGAAAGTCTTTGCTATGTTGCGCTTGACTTTGAACAAGAAATGACAAATAAATCAGAGAAAACCTATGAACTTCCTGATGGACAAGCCGTCACGTTAGGCGATGAAAGATTCCGCTGTCCTGAGGCTTTATTTCAGCCTTCGGCCTTGGTAAAAGAGGAAGATGGTATCCACAAAATGGTGCAAAATTCCATCATGAAGTGTGAAGCTGACATCAGACGTGATCTGTTCGCGAACATCGTTCTCTCTGGGGGATCTACCATGTTCCCTGGATTGGCTGACCGCATGCAGAAGGAAATTTCCGCTCTTGCTCCCAGCAATACAGAAATCAAAATTCTCTCTTCCCCGGAGAGGAAGTTCTCCGTATGGATTGGTGGATCCATTCTTTCTTCCATCTCCTCTTTCAATACCTTGTGTATCAACAAAGTAGAGTATGATGAAAACGGGCCAAGCGTTGTAAATAAGAAGTTCTAAGCATCTGATTTGCTACGTACCGGCCATTCTTTGCCTTTTTTCTCATTTTTATGCGTCTCTATTTTCACTTAAATATGAAGAAATAATGAATTATTTAAAATACCTGTTAAAGTGTATTAATTTCGAGGTGTAAAAGTCTTTCGTTATATATTTTATTTAACAAAAAATATAAAATACTACAGTAACAATCATGCAAGGCTCGGGGATAAAAAAAAAAACACCGTATAGGAGTTGGATAAAAATCCTAACTACATTTTAACTATAAATCATGGGAGATCCTATAACTGCATACATTTTTCGAATAATGAAGTAATTTAAAATAAAAAGATGACTTTATTGAATAAGTCAATGACGTTATTGTTTCATTGCAACATGTTGTGTTCAAACACGTATAACTTTAAAAAATATAGCAAATTACGTAAATGCTCAAATTACGACTGCGTGTCCTAAATTTGTTGTAGATTTGAAATATTTGAAAAGTCAATTTGGAAAATTTTGTCATTAAGACCCCTTTTCCCATAGAGCCGTCCGAATCTTTTGGAAAAAGCACCCAAATATTTATAAAGAATATTTCTTAATAGGGAAAGAGTTTGAGCGACAAACTATATAAAATATTGTGTTCTAAACTGCGCTCTGACTAAAATTATAATAAGGGCTTCAAGAAGAGAGAGACTAATAACGATAATTGTTAATAAATTGATTTTTGACCTATATTTGAGGTCGATTTCATAATAGTTTTCTATTGAATTATTTTATTGGGCGCTTTAGACCAGAACTAGAGGGATATGTCTTAAATATTGGGCGATTTCACCAGGACAATTATGTTAGAGGGTACTTTGACTGTCACCCTTTAATAAACAATACATGCACATATCTTCGCCCACTTATACATCTCAAATGAGAAACAAAGATAAATCATTAATATTTTTAGTCATATCAGGGTAATTCCTTATTATTATTGTCCTCAATTTTATTTGAATACTGACATGTCATTTTTAGAAGGAAGATAAGGTACAGGCATATCTTGAAGTTTTTTATCCAGCGGTATGGTGAATAACATATAATGCAACAACACGAGGAAGTACTTGATATACTGACATAGCAACCATGCATTGCATTAATTTCATAAACTGTATACTTTACTGCATATCCATAGCGAAGGGGTATTTGAGGTGCTGACATGGACTGCAAACAATTGATTTTACTTATTTTTGTGGTATTATCACTTTGGAATAAATGTAAGTAGACTTTATCCTTGCAAATTGTTTCTTAAACATATCATCCTTCATGAAAAGCAATCCTATAGAAAAGCATTGTTGCCAACTGAAAATATTTTTTCTATGTGGTATGTATATGTAAAATAAAGTCGTACAAACAAGATATGCAGTCGTACGTACGAGATAAACAGTCAAAATTACGAAATAGTTTTCGGAAATACATGATAGTTAGTTGAACAAACGACATAGTAAGTCGTTATAGCATGATATAAAGTCATACAAAAGACGACTTTCAGAGTAACTTTTATGTCTACATAAGATGGTGAAATATTAAGATTCACCTTTAACCTTAAACATACGGCACACATAAACACTCACAAAATAGATCTTCATAATTGTTTCTCCATATGTTTTTTATATATATTTTATTATTAATGTTTTTGTCTTTGGATTAGGAATTTGTGATACATATACACTGTACATTTGTACATATTTGGGCGGGTATTTTTATATATTTCCCCTCGGAAAATTTCCTGGATTGGTCATTGAACTTCTATTTAAATAAATATGTTAATTAAAGGAAAAATACCTATATTTATTATTATTTCTAGGAACCAAACACAAATTCAAACTAAGGAATATAATTCGGATTTCTTGCAAGCAAAATTAATTCAACTTTTTAAGGAAATTGTCGTTCAGCAAAATTAAACATAAAATTATAAAAAAAAAAAGTTAGCTGTGAAGGCGGATCCAGGGCTGGCGCGCCGGATGTGCCCCAGTTTGATTTTTTTTTTAAATTTTGTTTGTATTATCCAATAATCAGGGGAAAACACCCGTTATCTGTTATAATTGTCTTAGGTTTCATTGCCTTTGCCCTGGACCCACGGTGGGCTCCAATGCAACCCCCAGAACCCCCTACCTTCTGCCCCCCGGGTTTTGAAATTCTTGGATCTGCTGATAAGTCGTACGTCAGACTAACTGTATTTAGTCTGTACGACTTAATGTACGATGGCCGATATGAGCCGTCAAATTACAAGAGTAGCTCTATTATGTACGCAGAATTATTTGACTTTAGTAGTATTACCTGTATCATTTTGTACATGTACACTTTGTCAATGGCAAAACGCATGTAGTTGTGATATTAATTTGTACATGTACAAATCTTGAGACAAAATACACTTTAGACTTCTTAACGTTCCTTAGATTTGTTGGGAAGATTATCTGTAAACTTAGAAGGGACAAAATCAGAGGTGGGATCAGATGCCATTGAGGAGTGAGTATACCCTGCCTACTGGTCACACCCCCTGTGTGCTCCCTGTAATGATCGGGAAATAACGTAAAAAAGCCGTGGACAACTCAGTATGTAAATGATGGCCTAACAATCAGTATGAAAAAAGTCAATCAGCAACTGACTTAATTATAAATTGTATTTGTACGTATAACTTTTTATTAGTGCGACATAGGAAATTTATTTTCAAATGGCATCAAAAGGCATTATTTTCTTTTCAACTCGTGTTCTTACATCCTTTCTATTATCAAAGGGGAAAGTAAGTTTGTCTTGAAATAAAAACAAATTTAAACAGATAATATGCAGTTTTCTGAGCATTGAAGGATTTTAAAACAGGGATTATTACAATGACAAAGATGCGACCGCTTAGCAAATTTCACTGCTAGACTAGATGTCAGGATCTTTTGTTGATTAATTTGCAGTATTCATGAATATAATCAATGACTTTTAATTATGAATGATAATTAGAGGCATTTTTCAAAACAAATGATTTTTTAAATATTATTCTTTTTATCCTAAAGTTATATAATCATTTTAAACTACATATAAATAATAACAGTCAAACAAACAATGTATGAAAGAAAGTTATACATAAATGTGTAGAAACACCTAGCCTCAAAAACATTTACCTTCTTAATACATTCTATACATTTCCTCTATTACAAAATATCTGAATAGGTAGACGCGCAATAAATAATTAAAGGCACAATAAAAATTGTCCGAAGTTATTTGACGACGTAAAAATCTAACAATTGTTCTACTTTGAAATAGTTCCGTATTCTTATCAAAAACACTTTCACTACAACAAATAAAAACTCAACATAAAAACAATATCTGATTTAAAAAAACACACACACAAAATTAAATAAAGCAGATATTCACTTAACTGAGAAATATTCTGAAATTTGAAATTTCAAAGACTTAAAGTGAAAGAAGTAAATATTGCAAACAATGATAGATCGAAGAAATCTGCAAACTATACACCTCCGTTAAAAGGGCATTAAAAACGGAATCCCCCGAAATCCTCGTACACTTGGTTGGATCATGGACCAACAAGGAAAAGCATTCTCTGATGTTTGGTCATACCCCCTGTGAGCCCTGTGTATTAATCAGTTCCTAGTTAATCGAACATTTCGTAATCAAATTTAGTATCAAATCAAAGGTCTTACAATTGATATAAAATTAGTTAGTTAAAATACATCCAATTTTTAGAATATATTGTGTAAATTATTGACAGAAAATTTGATTAAACAAGATTATCAACAGTCTCGTTTGAAGTTTATCAATTTGTATGTTCTGTGGTTTATACAATGACCTTGTCAGCAAATACGATATATCATTGAATCAAATGCTGACTTGCATTTTACATTCTCATTGCTTGGCCATTATTTACACACACTGAATTAGCGACAAATTGGTCCCTTATTTCCAACGCATGACAAGGATCACACGGTGGGTGTGCCCAGTCGGCAGGTGATATTAACTCCTCCATGGCACCTGATCCCATCTCTTAAATTTTAAGATCCATCTTTGCTCGGCTCCTGATTTGTATTATTTGAATAGACTTTTGAGCTTGAATGCTGTTTGTTATCTCCATATTTAATCTGTAAAATAGGACTTATAAACGACAATAGACTTTTCGAATTGATGGTTGAAAAAAACCCATAACATCAACATTCCTGTAAGAAGCCTCCTTTTTCTTTGTAGTTTAATTCTTTTCTATCTTTATTGCTTTTACATAACTCAAAATTTTTAAAGTACAAAGAAATAGTTATATTAAAAGAATCGGTACCAGTTTATACATTACTTACAATTTTAAGTTTGATTACTTCTTTTTTATCATTTTCAGGGTCTTTTTCTACGATTTATATTGAAGAGGGTTCCGATGCCTGCATATCATTCTCACAGGCTGAAAAAATTGACACAGATAGAGAACTCAGAAGAGAAAATCGTGTACTATGTATCCAGTTCAATGGGTCAAAAGAAATAGGGTTTATATTCAATTCAGCTTTAAGTGAACCATTTACCTGTACTACAAACGACTCCTTTGTTTCTGTTTGCATTGGAAATATAACAAAAGATAATGAAGGGGTTTACTCATATTACCTACTTTCAATGTTGCTGAAAAACAGAACATTGACATTAGCCAGTAAGTAGTAAAACTCTTATCACCAACTGAGACTATTCTAATACAAAATGTACATGTACGTACAATAAGCATTATACAGTCGATAAAATACAATTTTAATTTAGGCCAGCATTTTTTTATTTTTAGGTTTACAAACCCGCCGCTCAAGTTTTTGAATTTTCAGGAAAAAAATAAAATTGAGAAAAACAGAATTTTTTCTTTCCGATGTCAAATTTGAGTCGGGATCGAGATTTCAAATTTACAAACTCGTACTTCCGGTTTTAGATGATGAAGGCAGATTTGCAAAGTCCATAGCAGCACTAAAGCTTTGTTTAATGTTAATATTTATCGATAGGAGTGCCATTCAAAACGTTTCACAAGTTCAGAGGACAAATAAAATGCTGACGACTTTATTGCACAATGACATGCTGGTGAGATAATTATGTATCCGTATTCAAAAGTATCTGTCTGTAAATTATTTTCCTCCCACAGGTTTAAAACTGCTCATAATAGCTATTGTCAGAGACATTGTTTAAGTTTCTGTTATAGCTTACAGTCTTATAAGCATCATTCTTCAGAAGTATCAGATGTAATGAATAAAACTATGGGAGAAGTTAAGTCCATTTAAGGAAGAAATAAAAAATAGCCTAAAGAAATAAAATACTTCAACTGTTAAAAACAAGTATTATATACAAATATATACAGGTACGTAGTATCGTTTGTGGCAGCCAGAAAAATTATTTTACACTTAATTAAAAAAATTTCACCATACTCCCCAATACTCCCTGTCTGTTTTATGAAAGGAATTATTATTTTAGGTCTCAAGTATATTTTAGAACAATTTCTACACATTTACCAAAACATATTAAAAACAAAAATGATGATATATTGAAAGAGTTTTGAAAAATTGATTTTTTTTTAAAATATCTGTATTTTGTCCAACATAACAATATATATATATCACTGGCCCCAACTGGTAGATGATGCAATAAACAAAGGTTCTATTTCCCCCTTTGTAATCCTTATGTGTCCAGTGGCATGGAGCCTGTTAGGAGAGCATAAAAAAAGAAGAAAAATTAATGTACAAAAGTCAATAACTTATCCAAAAGAAATAATTTTATTTTTTTTATTTCCTCCTCCTACGGGACTTTTTCATTCTGATGTTCGTAAACCTAAAAATAAAAAAATGCTGGCCTTAGTAGCAGTTGTAAGAAAGCTTTTTGCAATCTATACTTGATTTTCATAGTGAAGAAGCTGATGGCGAAATACAAGTCTAGTTAATTTTAATTTATTTTATCATGTTAAAAGTTTGGTAAGGGGTTACAATATTTGAACAAAATGTGCTATGTGTCTTACGAGAATTTTTTTTTGGAAAAATTACAATTTAGTGTAATAATGAATTTCTACCAAGTTCATTTGCTTATGTCTAGGATACAGTGTTTTTGGTTGGCAAATTGAAAATTTCTTCTGTTTGCAAATTTACATTTTTCAAATTGGGATCTATTTTGTCTAAGCCCATTTTTTTTTATTGTTTTCTTGCCAGCAATGGACAATTTTAATGACTTACATGATCATGTAGAAAGGAAAAGAGAGGTACAAAATGTACATTCGAATTATGAGCGTATTATCATCATACAAACAGTTTGTCTGCTAGCTGTTAATGAGGCAAATTTGAAGATGTAAGATACCTTCAAACTGTGACCAATTTATCCCCACCTGGGGGTTTAAACCTTTCACTAAGGGATGATGATTTTACATTTTTGGAATAGGGATCCTCAATTTATTTTGTCAGAAATCCAAGATTATGCGGGTTTTTTTTCAATTCCAATCGCAAAGTAAAAGCATTAAAGTAGATGTATAATACTACATTTAGTTATTAAAGGAGCATACTGCATTTTAGATTATTTTAAATTTCGAACAGACAGTTCTTGCATATACTCTAAGAGGTGAAGATAACTAAAGATAACGAAAAGTGGTCGATCTTAAACACCTTTAAACAATATAAATATGTGAAGAGAGCATAAAACACGCAATTATTTTTGTCAGTTTCAAGAAAGGCTCAGAACCTCTTTTTTCAATTTAGATTTTTGAAACTTTTTAAACAGCCTCTCCAGTTGTACATCAAATGAGTCCTAAGTATATTGTGGAGGGAACAAATTTCACGCAGAAATGCCTTTACGATGCTGGAACGCCTCCTGAAACCACACTGCATTGGACCAAGCAGGGCGACAACAATTTCAGGCAACAAGGAGATACACTGAGACTGACCAATGTACATCGCAATAGTTCTGGTACTTACATTTGCACAGCAGAAAATCAGTTTTCGACAGGAAACAAAGGACGGAACAGTCAGTCATTGATTGTCGATGTGCAATGTGAGTTTGAAATATATAATAAAAAATATGTATCAGGAATCAATTGGAAATATTATTGGTATCAATTAGCCATCAATATTCATGGAAAATACTTTTCAATATCCCCTAACATTTTTTTGCTTTAAAACTTAGCATTGCCATCAGGGACCTTTTGGGGGTTCCTTGTCACCTTACTCTTAATATTAGCATACTAACGCTTTTGAAAATTTTTGATTAGCGTTTTACAGGTATCCCTTATTTTACAGATCGTCTCGTCTGATACAGAGTCTGTAATTTACACACATGTGTAATGTACACACATCTGAAATGCTCGCTTTTGAAAAAAAATGTGTGCTTCCTCTAGATTTTGAGAGTTTTGTCTGGAGTTTTCTAGAGAAACAACACAAAAATATATCATTAACATGATCCATGGTCTGACCCCTTGGCCTGGCTTGGCCTCTAAGGTGGCATAGCCTCTAATTTGGCCTCTAATTAAGCTCCAACCCAATATTTGGACAGGACTCAATTTTGTCATCTCTTAAAATTTTAGTTTCAATTTTGGCCCCAACCAATATTGATTTCTTTTCAAGCTACAATGTAAATGGGCTGCATTTTTGAGAATTTTTCTGTTAAAATTTTCTTTGTACACAATTTCAAATGAGTGTTTATAAACCATTTAAGTGTTTACAATTTCTACCTAAGGCATCATCTATTGATTAGTAAAAATTTGAGCATAATATGTTGATTTACAAACAAGATACAGAGCATTAAGTTCTTCATAATTTAAACAAGGCTCATGCCTAGTTTTTGTCTACATATAGAAAATATCATACGTATTTATAACAAAATGAAAGAACTATATGCGGTATATTGCATATATTTGCCCCCACAAAAGTCAAATTTTGAAAACTTTCTGAAATGTGCTGAATTCAATAAATTGTATGAGAAATATAAATTAACAGAATATATTATAGTGTCAAAGCAGTGTATTCACGATTTTTGTTTTTATGACGTCACAAACTAGTCCGATTTTATATCCTTTTTCAGAAAGAGGACAAAATGGACAAAATTTCAACAATTTTAGCTTTAAAATTTATAGAGCGCAAGTTTGTTCAGGAACAATATTGACATATTTTATTGATATTATCATTCTACACATTATATCAAAATATTGATCCTGAACACACATGCGCTCGGTGACTTTTACTCAAAATATCGACGAAATATGTAAAATTTTCTGTAAAATTCATAAAAAACTGAAATTTACGTCATGTTTGTGACGTCATTACGTACATATGGCGTCATTACTTGTGAAAATATTCAGTGCTTTGAAGTCAGCATATACTCCCCTGTTTAAGAACTTAATTAAATATATCTCCATCAAAGTTTGATTTGGGGGGCAAATATATGCAATATACCGCATATAGTTCTTTAGCAAATAAATAGTAACTGTCGAATCATATTTAAAATATCTTTTATTTGTAATTAACTACTTTGAACGAACATATACAGTAAAATTTGTCTAATCCGGACTCTGAGTAATCCGGATTTTTGTCCATTCCGTCTATAAATTTTAGTCCCATGCACTTCTTTCACAAATTCATTAGAAAAAATTCTGTGTAATCCGGATACTGTTCAATTCAATTCAATATTCAATTCAATAGTTTATTCTCTTAAACTGCACAACAGTATAGAGAAAATACAAACATAAATTATGTACAATACAATACAATACAGCATGCGTGAGAAAAATAAAATAAACGATGAAAAACGACAGTGTCATACATCAAGCAACCAACTCTCTCAATAATACACTCAATAGATTTACATAGTATAACTAGTTGAATTTTATTGTTTTAGATTAAATAATGTTCGGACTCAAAACTTTAGTATTTGTATAGTATACATTAACCTGGAGGGGTAACTCTCTTATTAACTATAGTAATGAATTTACAAAGGTTATTGATAACGGATACTTTTTTACATGAAAATAAGTTTGAAAACTTGAAAGCACTTGGTCGAGTTGTATATGTTGACGGGATTAACAGTTTTCTGCTATCATTTAGAGCTGGACATGACATAATATAATGGAATTATATCATTATTACATAAAGTACATAGTCTTTGGTTTGAGGGTATATTACTCCATCTGCCTATTTCTATGGGTAATTTATGTTACTGGTTCTAAATCTTGCTAATGTAATTATAGTATTAGTTGACACATCGATATTTAAATACTGCCTAGATGTAAAATTACTGTTAGTGAACAATTTATAAATTTTGCCTTTACTCGATGCATCACAATTTGAATTCCAATTTTGTACGAATTGATCAATAAGTGTTTGCTTAATTATATTTAACAACCATTTTTCATTTTCTACATTTTGAGACTTCCAGATATAATTCAAACCACATTCTTGTAAAATATTTTGTATATATTCATTCCATTTAGAACTACAATTAATGTTGTTGTACATTGATGAACTGTATAAAAAATTATATAAAATGTGACATAATTTTCTTTCTTTACATTTCAACAATTTTACCCAAAATTTTATCATTCTCATTTTAATAGTAACACTCAGTGAATATCTACCAAGCTCGCCATAAACCATATAGTTTGGAGTAGATGTCTTAAGATGAAGTATAAGTTTACAAAATCTTAATTGAAGTTTCTCAATAATGTTTACGTTTTCAAAACCCCATATCTCGCAACCATAAAGAAGGATAGGTATAACCATTTTATCAAACATATCAATTTGACAATCAATGGACAAATTCAATTCTCGTGCTTTTTTTATTATGGCGTACATAACTCTGGTTGCTCTTTGCACAGTATATTTTCTTGTACTATAAAATGATCCAGTTCTTGAAAAAAACACTCCTAAATATTTAAATTCTTTTACAATTTCAATCTCATTATTATTGTAAGTAAATACTACATTAGAAGATTGCCTACCCTTACCAAAAATTAAAATTTTTGTTTTATCAACATTCACATGTAATTTCCATTTTTCACAATATTTTTGAAAGCAATTGAGTTGATATTGAAGATCTTCCTTAGTTTCAGACATCAATACAGTATCATCTGCATAGAGCATGATCATAATTCATAAGTATACATCTAACTTTTGTTCAATTTCTTCAGACAAATTTTTTAATCCAATAACATTTTTTTCTATTAAGAATTCTTCTAAGTCATTTAGATACAAAGCAAAGAGAAAAGGAGACAAATTGGCGAACTCCATTTCGACAAGGAAAATATTCAGAAAAATCATTGTTATGGGATATTCTAGACTTACAATCATTATACATATTAAAAATAACTTTAAAGCATTTTCCCGTTATATGGTATTTAACAAGCTTTTTCCACAATCCTACTCGCCATACTTTATCAAATGCAGCTTTAAAATCAATAAAGGCACAATATAATTTCTTTTTCTTAAATAATGTCAGTTCTATCAATGAATGAAGTACAAACATGTTATCAATGGTAGAATAATTTGCCCTAAAGCCGCTCTGGTTTTCCTTAATAAGGTCAATATTATCTGCATATGTGGTCATTCTTCTACACAATACAGATGTAAAAACTTTTCCAAGACAACTTAACAACGTTATAGGACGATAGTTTTGTGGATCGCTATAACTACCCTTTTTCTTATAGATTGGTTTTATATTTCCAGCTAACCATGCCTCTGGGACAATACCTGTATCAAATACTAGATTAAACAGTTTTACATACAGTGACACCATAACGTTAATAGATGACTTAATGTACTCATTTATAACAGTATCAGGTCCTGGAGATTTATTGTTTTTAATTGTCTTCACCACATTCAGAATTTCATCTGGGGTAATTGGGTCATTAATAAAGGAACTATCAGCAAGCGATTCCACAATATGATTATCTAGTTCGTCACCTGAACCTTCTGATTCGTGTTCATTTTCATTAACATTCTTAAAATAATTATAAAAATCTACAATATTTATGTTGTGGTGCTCTTTAGGTCCTTTACCATTTACAATATTCCAATATTCTTTTGGGTTTGAACTTCTTAGTTTTTTAATATTACGTTGTAATTTAGCTCTATAATCTTTGTATGCTTTATTTAGAGTAGATTTATATTTTCTTTCGGCGTCTTGTAATTGTTGTTTGAAAATATTAGATCCATATAATTTGTATCTGCGTTTAGTTTTTCTACAAAATTTCCTTGTCTTGTAACAATCATCATTAAACCATTGTTTAGTTCTGTATCAAAAGTGCGTGGTAAAAATGTACCAAATGTAGTTTTTGCCGAGGATAGTAATAGATCAGCCGTGCTATTAAACAGAAGATCTACATCGCTTTTACGAATATTATCAGGGTCTAATATTTTGTTGTCTACAGTTTGCTCAATATTCAGCAGTTCTAGTGCACTTATGTTATTACAGAATTCATTCGATTTAGTGGGATCCCACGATTTAGTTCTTTCTGGTAAATTTCTTTGTGACACATTTTCTAATTCATTATCACCACGTGTAATTGTTTTTAAACATGTGTACAATTACTTTCATCAGAATAATTTATTCTACAAATTTCAAGCAGGTTTTTTGCCAGGTCACTCAACCGTTTACCAACTACTTGAAACTTATCACACTATAATTAAGAATATCGACGAAGGAAAATTTTGTTGCATGGTATTTTATGATCTGTCTAAAGCTTTCGACAAAGTTTGGCATAAGGGTTTACTTTTTAAATTAAAAACTTATGGATTATGTGGAAATGTTCTTACCTGGATAGAGAGTTACCTATGTAATAGAAGACAGAAAGTTATGTACAAAGATATTTTTTCGTCTAACAGAAACATTAACGCTGGTGTACCACAAGGATTTGTTCTTGGTCCTTTACTTTTTTTGGTTTATGTGAATGATGTATCAGAAAACATGATTTCATTGTGTAGATTGTTTGCAGATGACAACTCATTGCAAAGTTCCTCTTATAATGTTGCAACTATTGAATATACTTTAAATCATGATTTAGATATTCTGGACAAGTGGTCTTCCAAATGCCTTATGAAATTTAACCCATCTAAAACGAAAGCATTATTCTTTACATTAAAATCCAATTATTATCTCCCAAAATTACAATTTCAACGATGTAATCTAGAATACATAACCTCTCATAAGCATTTGGGTTTACTTTTGAGCCAAAATCTTAACTGGTCTGATCATATAGACAATATAGTTAAACAGGCTTCCCAAAGATTAGGTCTTTTAAAAAAGCGGAAATACAATATCGGTAGAAAAACTTTATCTAAAATGTACATAACATTTATTAGACCGCTACTTGAATATTGTTCTATAGTTTGGGACGGGTGTTCTTTACAAGATGTTGAACGATTAGAAATGGTGCAGCTTTATGCTGCAAGAATTATTACAGGGTTACCAATTATCGCTTCAAGAGATGCATTATATTTAGAAACAGGATGGGAACCTCTTGCAGATAGGCGAAAAGTAGCAAAACTAAATACTATGCACAAAGTACATCACAACTTAGTACCCGATTATTTAAAAAGTATTTTCCCCGCAACAAGACGTAATGAATCAAAGTACGATACACGCAATAGAGAGGACTACTCTATTCCTAGATGTAGACTTGAAATATTCAAGAAATCTTTTGTTCCTGATACAATAAACCAATGGAATAGTCTGAGTATCACCACTAGAAACAGCATATCTTTTAGCAGCTTTAAAAATAACATACATAAAAAACCAGCAGACCCCCCTTCTTATTTCTTCCATGGTAATAGACGACTTAATATCATACATACTAAACTACGACACAATTGCATTTTAAATTATGATCTTTATAGAAGAAACATTATCGAGAGTCCTAACTGTTCATGTGGTACACCAGAAGACCCATATCATTTTTTCTTTGTCTGCAATAAGTACCAATATGCTAGAGAAAAGCTATTCAGAGATTTACTGTGTCTTACGAAACCAAATATCAAATTGAACATTATTGATTGTCATTTACTTCTGTGGGGAGATTAGTCACAAAATGTAGAAATCAATAAATATATTTTTCAGTCAGTTCATAAATTTATAAGAGATTCTGGTAGATTTAATTAATTATTACTGCCTAACACTTACACTCTATATAGTTATATATTTATCATATGTAACAAATGTATGTTTCAATTTATCAAACATGTTTGTACATCAATATTCCTTTTCACTTATTTTCCCTATGTATATATATTGACAGTTGTATGGTGAGAACCTAGTAAGTTGTTAGAACTTGTGTTCAAACCATTTGTATAGTATTTATACAATAAAATATGTTCAAACCAAACCACGTGTAATACAATTTAGATGACATGTCAAGGGCATATGAATATCCGAGTACAAACAATTAAAATCTAATACATCAAAATGTCTTACAAATTTAAAAAAATCAGCATTGCATATGAAATAGTCAACAACACTTGATCTTGTAGTTGTAAATTTCCCCCTTTCTTCATCTTTTGGTACTCTACCTTCATAATATATAAACTATTTGCCTTACAAAAATTCAGTAGCTGATATCCATAAGCATTTGTCTTTCTATCACTATTTTTTCTGTCAATATTTACATTATATGTACCCAACTTGTTAACATCGCTTAAATTATCACAATCTTCATCTAAGGTAATTTCGTATTCAGACAATTCATTGTCTTCAAAATAATCTTTTTTGTCAGACACCCTAGCATTAAAATCGCCTGTCATACAAACAAATTCAAAATTATTTGTCTATTCTGTATTCCGAACGGCCACACTGGTCCCAACTGCTCATAATTAACGGTAATTATTTCCCCTCATCCGGCCACACCTGAGTTACTTCTAAGCAATTAACACCTTTCGTGGTGGATGTGCTAATCTGTGTTTACATTAGCATAGTGCCATAAGACGAACTCATTGAAATGCGGCGGTGATACAGCCCGCTTGAAAAAATATTATAATATTAAATTACAATTTAAAAGAAAAATTACCCTGTTTTAACTCATTTTACCACATTATAATATAAATACAAAAATATAATATGTACCCGATTTACAAATCAAAATATAAATCGGGATCGAAAATCGAACGCATTTCAAAATGGCGCCATAACAGTGTGGGGAAGACAAAATTTTTTACATAAAAATTAAAAGTTCAATCCAATAATTATCATATCGTAAATAATTGTGCATTACTGGTTATACATTAAATGTGCTCTTTGACAAGCGAAACCCGGTCCGCTTGATATATAGTAGGCCTGTAAAACTCCTGTCAGTAGATTTTGATTTAGGTAACATTTCACCAGACTTTCAAACCTCGTGAACAAACAAGAAAATACAGTAAGTCATGTGAGACTATTTTATAATTTCTAGACTCCAAGATATTGATTGATTTCATCATTTAATTACAGATTATATTATGTATATGATGTACTTGTAAATAAACAACGAAAGTTTTCAAAATTAATATTTTCCTGCATTTTTCCTGCAATCCGGATTCTGTCTAAACCGGCCAAATTTTATGGAACCGGCGGTAGCCGGTTTGGACAAATTATACTGTATTAGTATTTTAACCTGTGTAAACAAAAACATTTCACAGACCTTGTTTACATAACAAAGGTTAAGAGCTCTAAATCTGTCTTGTATCTGGACAACTGACGTTCAAATTTTTGTTGATCATTAGAAAGACCCTAGTAAAATATTTGTAAACATGGAAAAATAGATTTTGGAATATTAGCTGAAACTGTGTCCATGCCCCTTTAATGATGAACCTGTATGAAATTCAATCTTTATGGTCAATTAGATTAAAAATTAAGTGTCAAATGTTTTCCGAAGAAAGATTTCTGTGCATTGGAATATGCAGTATAATATGAGAAATCAATATTGTACAGGACGACAATAATAAAATTGTGCTTCAAAGTTTTTAAATAGTTCTTCCAATACAAATATGAACAACAAATTTTTACAAACATTCTTTTTTGCTGTCAAAGAAATAGTTATGATTTTCCCACAAATATTTTCAGTATCAAAGTTACAGCTCATATTGCTTTCAGATTTAAACGATTTTATTGTTTCTTTTATTGGTGTTTTTTAAAGTTAGAAATTAGAGGCAAAACTAGACTCTTGGCTAACTTAGAGGCCATATCAGGCGAAAGGGCCAGGCCGGAATTTAAAGTATGTCGAGTTTCAGATTGTTTAAAACAATCACGTAAGGAGGATGAACAAAAAGTATGATTACTTAATTTCATTTTGCATGCTTGTAGATCCTCCAAAAGTGGTGCCTTTTATTAACCGGGATACCATAGAAGGAAGGAACCTTACCGTTCAATGTTCTTTCGTTGCTGGAAATCCTTCTCAAACCACCGTTTACTGGACTGATGGCTCTGGATTTAAACAGAATGGAAGCTTTTTACATTTACCATGGATCCAGAGAAACAGAGCTGGTACTTACATTTGTACAGCAGAAAACGCCTTCAATATAGGATCTACAGGAACAAGCAGTCAGTCTGTGAAAATCAATGTTCTGTGTAAGTTGTTAATCATATACAAATATTGCATGATAATGTTCTTTTTGCGCTTGACTTTCAAAAAGTAAGTACTAAATACAGTGCAATGACAAAAAACACTGATATTAATTAAATCAGTAGATACCACTTGCATGATGGTATTGACAAATTAAACTGGTTTAGCGTAACCTTCAGTGATAAATTGAAGTAAACTTCATAATGATTACAAAAAAAAAATCTTGCAGCAAAAGTAATTTTTATTGATATATAAGGAAAAATTCACATACAAATCACGATTAAGTTGAAGTTTTATATAATTTAAGCACTATAAGAAAAATATTCAAAAATGATTTACCCAACCTTCACTACATATATGTTGGACCAATGTTACAGTAACTTTACTGGCCAGACCTATACATATTCTTTTAATTTTGTGAAGTATTTCAGGCAATGGAGCAGCGTATAATCCATCACATACCAAGCACTCCTTGATGACTGCTAGAGCTTGAAACATATTTATTGCGTATAGTTGCATACTGTCATATACATTGTAAATTCTTCATGTTTTAGATCCTCCCACTGTATCTCATATTATCAACCAGGACATTCTAGAGGGGAGGAACCTCACCGTTCAATGCTCCTTCACTGCTGGAAATCCCAACCAAACCACCGTGTACTGGATAAGGTCAGGTGACCCTGGATTTAGACAAATTGGACATATTCTACAGTTACGGAAAATAAATAGAAATAGCACTGGTACTTACATTTGTATTGCAAAAAATAAATACAGCATTGGAGGGACAGGAACAAGCAGTCGGGCTATGGATGTAAATGTTTTATGTGAGTTGTATAACATGTGCGCCTTCAAATAGATTTTTTCAATTCAACATTATAGCGGAAATGTTACGCTAATGAATTAGACATTACAAGTCACTCCATTGAAATTAATTTTATATCAAAATATTCATTTGATATTGTTGGCAAACAATACACAGTTAAACCAACAATGATATTCTGAAAAAAAAATACTGTATATGTCATGATTAATGGAAATGCTTCATTTTTCGAAGAAGTGATCAGGATATGAAAGTTGCACATCATCAATTATAACACTCGTATATAATGGGAAAAAAACTGTTTGTTTGAAATTTATTTTGAACAATTTTATAATCTTTAAATTATAAATAGATTGAAAAACTGATTCTAAAGAATGTTTTGAAATTACTTAAACATAGCTTTAATAGTAGATATAGTGCCTATATAAACTGTCATTCCTAAGAATTTCTAAATTTGTATTCAGGTAAACCCGAAGTAAAAATGAATATCACGCTTAGAATCCTGAAATCAGAAAGAATTCGGTTCTCATCTACTGTCACTGCATACCCAAGGCCAACCTACAAACTATTCTATGAAAACAAAACTATCAACAATAAAATGACCAGTAGGTTAATAAAAAATGCTGTGAATAACTTTACTGTTATATACAATCAAACACATATCCAAGAAAGCGATTTTGGGATATACCTTCTAGAGTTTGAAAATGCCTATGGAAGATCGCTCATGTATGTCGATGTTATTCCTGTAGGCGAGTATTCCATTTATTTTATACTTTTACATATATTTTTAATTATGACAGTTGATGGATGGTGAAAATATACATATACATGTAATCATATTTTTACTCAAGAAACTTTTCACTAATGTATAGATGCAAAAAAAATCTTATGAGGACTTATTTTTATCAAATGAGAATGCTTGGGATTCTGAATGATTCTTTTTCTAAATCATCTGCATGCAATTTTATCAAACATGCTATAGACATCTCTAATTAGAATATGTACACATCTATTTTGTTACCTCTTGATATTTTAATATAAATATGAGTAGAAAAATTAGATAATCTTATTTTGCTCATATTTGTTTTGACACTGAAAAGAAAATAAATCTCCATCATGAAATCATATGAAGTACCGGTTTAATTTATCCTTAAATTTTGTAAAAAAAATATTCTTACATTTGAACTCATAGGGAAACCAAACCCACCAGAGGTAAAATCTGTCACCTGTAAGACGGAATCAGCCGAGGTAACATGGGAGTCCTCATTAAATGGTGGAGCTCCTCAAACATTCACTGCCGTTGCTATGAGGGACGATCGGCATGAAGCCAGCCGGTCTGTTTCTATGTCCGACAAAGGGGAGAAAGTCAAACATAGAACAACTATAAACGGACTACAGCCATCTGTTGTGTATAGTTTTTATGTGGCTGCACTGAACAAACACGGAGAAACATCGTCAGCTGGTGACATCAGTTGCAGAACCAGTGGTAATTTGTTCATTGATTTCAAATTGAGTTGATTACATGTACTTGTAAATTTGGTTTTATTTAGTCTAAAAGAAATTACAAATTCAAATGCTTTATGTAACATATTTTTCAAACATAGCTGCTAGTCTGTCATCACTGAACACGCTTGAAAGAAGTTTGCCAAATTATGATTTCTCATTTACTCTTCAAGCAAATATTTGTGTATATAGAACTTTAATCTGATTTTTTCTGAGCAAAAGATTAGATACAATTTTTACATGGGAAAAATCGCCGGTATTTGAGCAACACCAGAAAACAATTTGCTTTGTTCAACTGTATTATTGACCGATACAATGTTTCAATGAGTCTTTGATGATTTCTATGGTCGACACAATGACCTTTACATCAAGGTCGAATGCTTACTGAAATTTTCATACCAATTGTAAAACCATTTTTTACAAACTTAATTGTCAATGGATTTTTTTTCGTTTGCTTAATCATGGCAAGGAGGATGCTCACTCCTGAATGGAACCTGATCCCATCTCTGATGTAGAGATCTGTTTTCTCTGCTATTTTTTTGTATTGTTTGAGCTTTAATATTGTTCGTTATTTCCATATATAATGAACCAAATAAGAGGGAAGACTGTCGACTAAAGAGCACAGTTAACATCACTGCTTTTTATATATCCCATGGATTTGTGTTCCCACAATTAGATAAACTCAAATTGAGTAAAATTATGAAAATTGAGTAAACAGAATGAGCGAGAAAGCAAACTGTTAAAGCATATATTCGAGATCTTTACTGTCTGGACATCAGTATTGATACATGAAAATAAATATAATTATATTTTGCTGCAGTCTGCATAACTAAAAAATCAAAATAAAAATAATCAATGAATGCATTATATTTTAAAAAGACCAATTTTTTTAAATTAGAAAAAAATATGTGTTGATTGATATATTTTAGCAATAAAGACGCGGAAATCCATGAAAAATGTTTCTATCAAGAACGTAAATCATTAGCTAAAGTAAACGTTGTTTTAAAATTGAGTTGCATAATTTAATTTATTAATAATTGATGCAGAGTTTGACACTATTTTGATGTAAAAGTTGAAATTCTGGGTACAAGTTCCAAAATTCTTACAATATGAAAACTAAGTAATTAATTTGTAACTTTAATAAAGCTGTAACGATTGATGCATATTTTCAAAATTCTTTATCTTGGAAAGTATATACTCAAGTTTGATATCTTGGAATTCATAAATAACTGTAGCTGTGTTACCTATTCCAGCTGTGAATGCACCTGACCTTAAATTCCTAATTGGCGCTATAACTGGTGGAACAGTTGGTAGTATTTTCTTTGTAGCAGTTATTCTCTTCATATTCCTCAACAGGAAATTCCAAATGAAATGCACAGGTACGTCTGTATTGTTATCATTTTCATCGTTATTCATTCATTCATTCATTCATTCCTAATTCGTAAAGTAATTTGTTTAAAAATTAATTTTTCACTATGATTAAAATTAAATTTCCAAATTTAAAATCTGTTTCTTATTTTTAGATCGATATTCCAAATCAAGGTATGATCAGAAATTTTAATTTAAATAAAACCTCCCGTTTCTATGCAACTTTTCATGTCACATTTGGAAAAAGGTAGAAGTCATTCATTTTTTTATGTCAGAGCAAGGTTTCGATATCAACGTAAAACTATTATGTAATAAAAATTATTTTCTCGGTTAACAATAAATTGAATTAGAATATTTGTAAATACACTTATGTTTAGAGATAATGTATGAGTTTTGAGACTTGATGAGAGAAAGCATGGTTGTTTTTAGTTCAAAAACAATGCAAATCAGCCGAAAATTAAAATTTCGACATTGAGAGATCTTCAATATATTCAAAAACTAAGATAGATATATGAATTTCCGTCGAATTTTTTTAACCTCAAGCATTAACCTGACATCGTGATTATCAGTTTCTTATGTAAACAGGATTTCTTTTTCTACAGGAAGAAGACGGTAGAAGAAAAAATAACAGGTACACGTATTTAAATTTTAACTCTAAAATAAAGTGATTGTCTAATTAAATTATCATATCTAATTATTCATACTAAAATTTAATGCTTACCTAACATGATGGATAATTTATCATCCTTTTCTATGGTGTTTTTCCCACCATTGTTAGTTTGAATTTCAGGTCTACAAACAAATGAAGGGTAAGCATAAATTTGTGTAATCTAATTTTCGTTGTAACACATCATTTGATTTGATAAGAAAAAAATTAGTTTATATCGTTTAAACTGGGTTGTACACGTCACAATGACACATTTAAAACGTACACTGTATCAATCCCCTTTACGTTACATTCAAAATACTTACAATTTGAAAGCATTTTTGAAGAAATTGTTTTCTACTTTCAATGTTTGAAAATTGCATTATTAGGAATACATTTAATAGCTACCTTTCGCCGTTCATATAGCGTAAACTGCCCCAACCCAGGTTATATCAGTATAATTTCGGTAGCCTTTTTTATTCATTCCTTATATCAAAGATATTTATAAAATTTTGTTAGAAATATAACTTAAGAGTGTTGTTAATTTTAAATATTTTTGCTGGGTTACATGATTTTTCTGTGTTATGCAAATATTATCTATTATTCTTCACATTAAAATGTTGTCCTAATATATTTAAAAATATTTAAAGATATCATAAATTGTGCGTACATGTAATCCTATCAACAGCGTCAATTATGAAGAACTAAAGCATGCCGACCAGATTCAACAAAGCAGTTACGAAGCTATTCAATTGGAAGATGGTAAGAAAGTCATATATTTCAAAGAATATATTGAAATAGCAACTACTGAAAATAAATCACTGCCTTCCTAAAAATAAAATTTATGTTTAATTTTAGGTGATAAAAATGAAAAACCAAGGTATGTTATCTTTCTTAGGCGATATTAAATTCTAAATCATTAACTTAAATTTTTTTAAAAAGGTCCGGTACCCTGAGTTAAACCAGCAATTTTCTTAATTTCAAGTGTAACTTATGAAAGTTTACAACCAAATAAAGAGGAAAACAAATATGAAGAATTTACAGGCCATAAAAATGAAGGTAAATGTGTTTCAGTTGTACTTTATTATGATTATGGAGTAAACCTATCTAGGCCTAGAAATAAGACTACTGCATTTACTAAGGCCATGGGCAATTGGCAAAGATAACACAATTTCTTCTATTTACGATTTTTTTGTTTACCAAAGCTTCCTTTAATTCGTTATTTTAGTATTTAAAAGATTTTGCTCGTATATATCTGCAATACAAGTTTAAAATTGGTTACAAAAGAGGAAAATTCGCTAGATGGACCTCAAATATGGTGATCAAAGGGAAATAACTCTTTCTTTATTCATGTCAGACGAAAACTATATATTAATCATTTAAAACATAAACGAACAATGACGACGTTTGAGACTCAAAACTGTTGAAAAACAACAAATTTAATTGAACAAAACCTATTTCAAGAAAAAAACACACCTGATATATACTTCAAGTGTTATGATTTTATAGAAACATATTGTCCGCTTGATGCACATAACCAAAGTAACAAATGTCGTTTCAATCTAGGCTGTATGCAAATCCTTGCTTCATGTTGTCCATTACAAAAAAACATGGTTCTAAAGTTCGCACAGTCTTTAAATTCTTTCGCAATTAGTTCTAATTGAGCATTACTGCATCCAAGGTTCTCTAAGCTTTAGTTTATAATTGTAAAGGATAATTGCACTTTGTTGATACGGCTATTGGATGGGATTGTCAAGAGGAGGAACCCCTGTGTCCCCAGCTTAAAAAACGTCGATATATAGGATCTCTCATGATTTGTATTTGGATATGATTTTTTTCCAACGATTTGATTGATTTTTATCCCCGAGCCTTGGCGAGGGGATAAAAACACGCAACGAGTTGGATAAATATCATATCCAACTACATTTCATGAGAGATTCTTTTTATCCAATGTTTAATACTTCACAACCGATGTTTTACATTGTTTTTATATAGGACTCCACTTTATTTTACATCATCACGCAACGCAGAAACCGTTTTGACGTCATAACTACACTTAACTGTGGGATACGAAAAGGATATAACATGAGCTATATCCACAGAATAAAGGGGTAAACATGGAATAAAATGCATTTATTTGTCAATCCTAATTACAAATATAAGGGTAGCCAGACAGATATTGACTAGCTCAGGTTAACTCCTCCTGAATTCATATCAGTTTTGTCAAACAACAAAACAATGGATGCAGTTTGTATAGACTTTCTCAAACCATATGTTGAATATATACTGCCTATCAACGATAAGAGCCAACTAAACAATAAACTGTATTACAAACGAGATGACCTCAGCCTCTTCATCGTCATCTTTTATTTTTGATACAGTAAATCAAAATCTTTCAATGTCAATAGGATGTGGTCTGAACGTCTTGCAACTTATTAAATACTCAAAAAGATACTAACTAAGAAGGTTCAACTAATTTTCAAATCATGACAGGTCAGGATAATGACAAATAAGATAATTTTTCAGGAATTTCAACAATCAGATCTCGAAAATTCTATGGTCGATCTTCGTTGTCTTCGTTAACGAATTTATTCTATTATTGGGTCTTATTTGTTTGTTATGTGTTAAAGATCGTTTTCAATTCGCTTTCTCCAGCTTTTTTGAGAAATTGTGCTTAAAGAGAATCTTCTATTTGACACTTATATACTTTAGCGTTTTTGACAACATTCAGCCGTGAAGAATAATTTAAAAGATTAAGATAACAATGAGAAAATAAATAATTAAATACATAAAACACTCAAATTTGTACAAAGAACATAAAATAGATGATTAAAATCCAGTTATTAAAGATAAATTAAAATTGAAATATGTGAATCAATGTTCTTTTTCACTTCAATAGGTCCTCACGAATATGTTGAAATTATTCAGGGCTAGGTATGTATCAAGTGATTAATTAGGTAAATGTCTTTGAACTACCAGGTAATCTCCTCAGAGTCTTTTCCCTCCATGTTATAAACAATATAGATGATAAATCATTGTCTTATTTTTATTAGATATGTTAGGATTTCATTTTCTAGCAAAATATAACATCAATATTATTCATGGTTTGTACTTCACCTGATAAAATTCAGTGACGTTCTGTATTAAAGACCCCAATTGTTGATTTAAATTGAAACAAAAAACAATATAAACATCTTACAATGCAACTATTGAATCAAGCTTCTAAAGTTCAATAAATAAGGTCCAAGACTTGCTTTTTGAACGATATAAACAGGGAGGAAAGTGAGAATTGACAACAGCATAAAATGAACCATTCAAAACAAAAAGTTATTTACATGTACAAAGATCTATTTTCTTAATCAATTTGAATTTACAGTGATTAATCCCTTTTTCTATGAAACTGTTTTGTTTTGCAACAGAAGTGAAGATAAAATTCTCTAATATCTTTCTATCATATATATGCTTAGAGTAAAAAAATACGATCTTGTTTTGTAAGTAATTTGTATTTGGAATCTTATATAAGTTTGTGTATAAGGAAGAGGGTTTTTTTTTGTCATTTTTGTTTTTTTTTCCGGCTACTACTTATATGATGTACGGTACTAAAATTAAGGTGATTCGAACCTGTCGTGAAAGTAATTGGAATTTTAAAAGATAGGTACCTTCGGATAAAGGACAAGTTTGTGGTTTAAGAACCAACAAAAATTCATATATGGTAATGCGCTCGTTTCCATGGCAACAACCTCTTAATATTCCCTTGTTTAAAAATGTAAAATCAGTGAAAAAATCCCACTGCCAGTAAAAAAAAGTATCAAAAAATATTATAATTAAAATTTATTTATTTTCATGTATATAAAAGGATAAAAATTCAACATCATCTTGACATTTTTACACATAGATAGTACATTCCAACAACATTCTACGACAGCCTGAATTTCCTCTGTCTTCTTAAAAATTGTCCATTTTTAGCTCACCTGAGCCGAAGGCTCAAGTGAGCTTTTCTAATCAAAATTTGTCCGTTGTCTGTCGTCGTTGTAGTCGTTGTTGTCGACGTCGTCGTCGTAAACCTTTCAAATTTCAAACATTCTCCTAAAAAACTACTGGGCCAATTTCAACCAAACTTGCCACAAATTATCCTTAGGTGAAGGGCATTCAAGTTTGTTCAAATGAAGGGCCATGTCCTCTTCCAAGGGAAGATAATTATGAATTAATGAAAAATTAATGGCATCTTTTAAAAATCTTCTTCTCACGAACCACTGGGCCAGGAAACATGAAACTCATGTGGAATCATCCTCAGGTAGTATAGATTCAAATTTGTCCAAATCATGACCCCCGGGGGTAGGGTGGGGCCACAATGGCCGATCAAAGTTTTACATAGGAATATATAGGAAAAATCTTTAAAAATCTTCTTCTCAAGAAGCACTGGGCCAGGAAAGATGAAACTCATGTGGAATCATCCTCAGGTAGTGTAGATTCAAGTTTGTTCAAATCATGACCCCCGGGGGTAGGGTGGGGCCACAATGGCCGATCAAATTTTTACATAGGAATGTATAGGAAAAATCTTAAAAATCTTCGTCTCAAGAACTACTGGGCCAGGAAAGATGAAACTCATGTGAAATCATCCTCAAGGTAGTGTAGATTCAAGCTTGTTCAAGTCATGACCCCCAGGGGTAGGATGGGGCCAAAATTGCAGATCAAAGTTTTACATAGGACTAGATAGGGAAATCTTTAAAAATCGTCTTCTCAAGAACTTCAAAGCCATCATTACAACTGTAGTGATATTCATGTGGAATCATCCTCAGGTACTTTAGATTATAATTTGTTCAAATTATAACCCCCAGGGATAGAGTGGGGTCACAATGGGAGATCCAAGTTTTACACTAAAATACATATTTAAAAAACTCTTTTTCTCAAGAATAGCAAAGCCATGATTAGTGATACTAGTATTTATATAGAAGCATCTTCGGGTAGTGTAGAATTAAGTTTGTTCAAATCCTGATTTAAATTTATTCAAATCATGGCCCTTTGGGGTAGGGATGGAAACAATGGGGAATTAAATTCAAATTTTTATTAAGTTATATATAGGAAGGAAATGTTAAAAAAAATCTTTTTATCAAGAACAGCAATGTCATATGCTGTATTAATATGAAGGCATTCTAAAGTAGTATTAAATTCAAGCCCCCCCCCCCTTTAGTAAACTTTTCAGTTCTGATCTCATTTGTGCTTTTTCCTAGCTGATTTGCTCAGGTGAGCGATGTGGCCCCTGAGCCTCTTGTTTCTTAACCTTGACAACAAAAATGGTTATTAAAATCACACTAAAAGTAATTGGATATTTATTTTCTAAACTTTATTTTAGATAAGAGATATATAGCTAAGTAACAGAGGGGGGAAATTGGTATGGCCATGGGTCAACTAAAAAGATATTCTAATCCGAGTTTTCTCTTGTCTATTTTTAAAAATTACCCCGAAATACATATATCACCCCAGACATACAAATTTTGTCAAGGACGAACGTATTTGCACGTATTGATGTCCGGCTTGACGTTTAAAAATTTTCCAAAAATCAAAATTCAGATATTGGATAAAACTCTCAAATCAACTAATATTACTTGTTGCAAAGTGTAACAACAAATGGGTAGAATTCATCAGCCTATATAGGTCCAGGATCGAATATACGTATAGTGAGCTGGCCCCATTCACATTATTGCTAAAACAAACTTATCAATAACAATTATTTTTTCGGGCTAGTACATTTGTAGCAGGGTTCGGGGTAGTATATTTTTGGCAGGGTGGACAACTTTCACTGGCAATCAGCCCTGCATGTCTAGCTAATTTTACAGTGAGTTTCACGCACTATGTATATATGCATTGGATTTTTATTCTCTGATGCGCATAACTCAGTTTGTTTAGATAAAACAATTAAAGTTGTGAGACAACATCCTTTAAAAAATAATAATTAAATGCATAATTACAGTGCAAACAAAGCTGGTATCAGTTTCAGTACATGTGTATACTGTATATAGGGTTATGTTCGCCCGCTTTACTTTTGTCCTTTCATACTTGCATACAATTCTGCCCCATTTTGAATTTGCCCAGTTACAGTTTGTTGAAGAAAATATGCTGTATTCTTTGAATTCGCCCAACCAAGGTTAGGGTGAAAGGGGCGACAATAAAACGGGCCGAAATTTTCCGGTATACAGTAATATGTACATTTTATCAGTCTGACACATGTACTATAATTATTTTAGCAAGTTTACTTTTTAAAATTTGAAAACTTTAACAATTAAAAATTATAATTTTTTCATACCCAGCCAGATGGTTTCAGCATCGCAGTTGTCTTTTAGCGCATCTGGATCAAAGGGATTATACTGCAAAGTGTTGACTCAGGTTGTACATTTTGAC